GGCGGAGCCAGGCTGGGCTGCCAGCCCTTAAAGGGGCCGCCGCGCGGGGCGCGGGAGGCGGCGCCGCAGGAGCCAGCGCAGGGCGCGCAACCCCGGCAGGTTCGGGCGGAGGGATGAAGGGAAGGAAGGGCTGGGCGGGTGGTCGGCGGGGAGCAAGGGACTTGCCGGAGCGCTGGGCGTGTTCCGGGCCTCTTCGGCTCTCGCGTCCCGCTGTGATGGCCCGAGTGCTCTGGGTTCATTCATTCCCGGCCCCGACAGCCACGGAGCCACGGCCCGGCACCCGTTCCTCACCATTGTACAGACTGGGGAAACTGAGGCGGTGGCAGTCGACCAAGGTCATCCCCGGGTCGGGATGGCGCGGGCCTCGGGCCAACCTCGCCGCCTCCCAGGGCGGGCCGCGGCCGCTGCGGGGCTCGGCGGGGGCACCGGGCGAGCCGAGGCCGGCGGGGAGCCGCGTGGAGGGGGCGGGCGGCGAGCCTGGACGGCCGCTCCCGCCGGGCCCTCGCCTGCGGTGGGATCGCAGGCAAAGCACTTCGCCCCGCTGGCCCCGATACCCTCCGCTGTAGAGGGCCAGGGTCAGCACGCACAGGCGCGGGGTACGGAGCCTGGCACGAGCGGGCGCCCAGCCGGGGACGGCACCGGATGAGCACAGAAGGGGGTTAGGTGGCTCGGAGGAAGGCGGCAGCCGGCCAGGTCGCCGGAATGAAAGGCCGCAGTGTCCGGGGCCCCCGCCCCGCCCCGCCCCGCCCCGCCCCCTCCGCTGGCAGAATTTGTTCCGGGCGGGGATGCACACCTGGCAGTGGAGCCTGGGCCAGGTCCACGTCGACACTGGCCCACCCAGTGGCCTGGAGGCTGGACGGTTTCCGTAGTTCCAAGCTAAGAGTGGGGCTGGGCCGGCCCTGGCAGACTGAGCTCAGCCGCTGCCCTGGGGTGGGGCAGGCGGGCAGCTCAGGACTGTGGGTCACCAGTCCCGGAGTTGGACTCAGCCTGTCTGGCTAAGGGACCCCACCCTGGAGGACATATGCATAGTGCATTTCCTGCTTCCTCTAAACTGACTCGAGGGAAAGGGAAGAAGGGAGCGGGATGCCTAGAGCTGGAAACAGTTGACACCTAGCGAGAGTAGAGGCCTCAGTTGCATGGACAGAACCTCCAGCTGGGCTCCTGGAGTCCCAGTCCTGCTGCCATTTTCCCGTCTGCCCGGACTGTCCAGTCTCTAGACATTTGGACTGGAAGTATGAGTCCTCACGAGTCCATCTTCCCAACCCTGAGTCAATTGGAACTTGAAAATAGGGTACCTAGCTGGGTACAGTGGCTCACGCCTGTAATCCTAGCTTCTCAGGAGGCTGAGATAGTCCCTAGGCTCACCTAATGAGAAATGTTCCATCCAAGGCCCTGAGTTTGGCCACAGCTGACACTGCCCTGGGCCAGGTGCAATGGCAGAGAAGGTCCTGGTCACAGGCGGGGCCGGCTACATTGGCAGCCACACAGTGCTGGAGCTGCTGGAGGCAGGCTTCTCACCCGTGGTCATCGACAACTTCCATAATGCCATCCGCGGTGAGTGTGGGCGTGGGGCTCTGGGGCTGGGGCTGTGGAGGGCATGGAGGAGGAAAACCCTGCATCCAGAACCCCATCTCTTCATGTGGATGTCTTCTACTCCCTCACCAGGAGGGGGCACTCTGCCTGAGAGCCTGCAGCGGGTACAGGAGCTGACTGGCCGCTCTGTAGAGTTTGAGGAGATGGACATCTTGGACCAGGCAGCCTTACAATATCTCTTCAAAAAGGTGGGTGCTCAGGGGGTTATTGGTGGGCCTTCTCAAGAAGGTGGGGTCTGGCAGAGCTAGCAGGCAAGCAGGTAAGCTGAAGAGTCCTTTCATTGCCAAGGGCTAGGCCCTCCAAGCTGCCTCCAACCCTGGCTTTGCCCCCACAGCACAGTTTTAAAGCTGTCATCCACTTTGCTGGGCTCAAGGCTGTGGGCGAGTCAGTGCAGAAGCCTCTGGACTACTATAGAGTTAACCTGACAGGGACCATTCAGCTTCTGGAGGTAAGAGGCCTGGGCTGCACTGGCCAGCAGTGCTGGCCACCATGAGTAAGGGCTTTCATGGGAGTCAGATAGGCCCCAAGCTGCATCATCTTGAACACGTCTTTCCTTTCCTCCCAGCCTTAATGTCCCTGTTTGTTAGTGCCACCTTAGGCCTACCCTCCCAGTGATAGGGGTGGCAGGTGGAACTGAGATGTGTGCCACAGGCCACTCCTCACCTTCCCTTCCCTTGGCTAGATCATGAGGGCTCATGAAGTGAAGAACTTGGTGTTCAGCAGCTCAGCTACTGTTTATGGGAACCCCCAGTACCTGCCCTTGGACGAGGCCCACCCAACCGGGGCTTGTACCAACCCTTACGGCAAGTCCAAGTTCTTCATTGAGGAAATGATCCAGGACCTATGCCGGGCAGACAAGGTGAGAGCCCCTTGACCCAGCACTGGCTTCACTTACTGGCTCCTGGTGCTACCCTTGAGTTTGAAGATGGACTCCTGACCACTCTCCACCCCAAAGAGTAAGCTAAGGCTTAGAAGTGGTAGTGCTGGCCAGGCGTCAGTGGTTCCCGCCTGTAATCCTAGCTATTCAGGAAGCTGAGATCTGAGGATCACGGTTCAAAGCCAACCTGGGAAGGAACATCCATGAGATTCTTATCTCCAATGAACCATCAGAAAACTGGAAGTTGTGCTGTGGCTCAAGTGGTAGAGTGCTAGCCTTGAGCTGAAAATCTGAGGGACAGTGCCCAGGCCCAGGATTCAAGCCCCATGACAGACCAAAAAAAAAAAAAAAAAAAAGAAGTGGTAGTTAGACAACAAATGGAATCACTATCTTTCGTAACCATAACCCCTCTGTGCATCACCTTGACAAAATAAAAATTTTTAAAAAAGTGGTAGTGCTGAGCCAGGTGCAATGGTTTAAGCCTATTACACCTGCTACTTGGGAGGCAGAGATCGGATGATTATGGTTCCAAGCCAGCTTGGACAAAAAAAAAACAGTTTTAGGACTTAAGAGTCCAGTCATCATCTCAGTGACACAGGGAAGTGCAAATAAGCTCACAGTCCAGGCTAGCCTAAACAGAAAATGCAACCTTGTCTAGAAAGTAACCAACCCCCCAGAGTAGCTCAGTGGTAAGAGTATCTGCTTAGCAAGTATAAGACCCTAAGTTCAATCCCCAGTATGGAAAAAAAAAAAAAAAAAAAAGTTGAGGGCTGGGAAGGTGGCTCAGTGGTAGAGCGCTTGCTTTGCAGGCATGAGGCCCTGGATTCAATTCCTCAGCACCACATAAGCAGAAAAAAAGCCAGAAGTGGCGCTGTGGCTCAAGTGGTAGGGCGCTCGCCTTGAGCTGAAGAGCTGAGGGACAGCGCCCAGGCCCAGAGTTCAAGCCCTGCAATGGACAAAAAAAAGTTGAGGTGATGTGCCCAAGGTCACAGCAAGGAGGGAGGATCCCCATCCCTTGGCCATTTCTAGAAAACCGACAGAGGTGAGGCAGAGAACTGTGAACTGGAACGCACTGCCTGCACCCCTGTTCCACCGTGCCTGCATCTCTCAGACCTGGAATGCAGTGCTGCTGCGGTACTTCAACCCCACCGGTGCCCACGCCTCCGGCCGCATTGGCGAGGATCCCCAGGGCATTCCCAACAACCTCATGCCCTATGTCTCCCAGGTAGGGGGCAGCAAAGGGCTGGAGGGGTTGGCACAGGGATATAGCTGAGGACCTCGAAGGAGCTGACCTGAGCCTTGCCCTAGGTGGCCATCGGACGACGGGAGGCCCTGAATGTCTTTGGTGATGATTATGCCACAGAGGATGGCACCGGTGAGCCCAGGACCAGGAGGGCCCAAGAGTGGGGGTCAGGAGAGACGGGGGGGGGGGGGGGGGGGCAACTTCCCCGTCCTACCACCTTGTTCTCTGCAGGGGTCCGGGACTACATCCATGTTGTGGATCTGGCCAAAGGCCACATCGCAGCCTTGAAGAAGCTGAAGGAACAGTGTGGCTGCCGGGTAGGGAGCGTAGAGCAGCCAGGGAGGGAGGGGAACAGAGCTGTGGACAGCGGGGCCCGCACAGTCTAGTTCACCCATGAACCCTGTTCCCCGGGGCAGATCTACAACCTCGGCACGGGCACGGGCTACTCGGTGCTGCAGATGGTCCAAGCCATGGAGAAGGCCTCAGGGAAGAAGGTAGGCCCCGCCCAGCTCTTGGCAGTGGAGAGCCTGGGCGCTTGCCTCTGCCCACCCACTGGGCACCCAGCATACCCAGAACCCTGTGGCTGCCTGGCACTTCAGTGGCAGGCGCTCAGTGAAACTTCTCCCTCTTCACAGATCCCATACAAGGTGGTGGCACGGCGGGAAGGCGATGTGGCAGCCTGTTACGCTAACCCCAGCCTGGCCCACGAGGAGCTGGGCTGGACAGCAGTCTTGGGACTGGACAGGATGTGTGAGTGCTGACTGACCTGGGACAGCGAGGGCAAGGGCGTCTTCCCTGGGCTGCCCTCAGGGCGGGCCCTGACACCCACACCCGTCATAGGTGAAGATCTGTGGCGCTGGCAGCAGCAGAATCCGTCAGGATTTGGGGCGCAGGCCTGAGGAACTTCCCCTACCATGGACCAGGAAAGGAAGAGAAGCAGCTGCCTGTTCTGCGGCCTCCCAGCCTCCTGCAGGACACATCACCCTGAAGCTCTGGGGCCAAGCTGAGGCTATCCTACCTCAAACCCAAGCAGGGTCCATTCAGCCCTCCAGGCAAGAGGCCACCGGCTCCACTGACGGGGAGCTGGGGCAGCATCCCTTAGCTCCTGCAGGACCACCAGAGGGGCGGAGGAGGCGGGGCTCCCGGACCACACACCTCCCAGGCACTGATGTAGACTGCCACAGGGGGGTTTTCCTAAGTATTTTAATAAACCTTTTCTTACACTGAGCATTTTGCTACATCTACTCTGCACGCACACCTTGAACAGAACCAGGCAGGCCTAAGAGCTGAGGAAGCAGTTTCTTTAATTTCATTGGAATCCAGGACACAAGAAAAACACCCAAAACCACATGAAGACAGAAGACATGGAAACACAATCCTCCCCCACAACCTCCCTAGTACTAGAGTGGGGACATGGTGGGGGTCAGACAGCCAGGGGGAACCTTGTGCCTCAATCCAGCCCTGCAGGCTCCAGGCCTGTGAGGGTGGAGGGCAGCAGGGAGGCAGGGTCCAGCCCCCAAGTGGGGGACCAGCTGAGGGAAGGCCCCTGGACTCCACTCCACCTGCCTGCCCTGCAGCAAGCAGCCCGCAGCAGCCAGGGGCCGGGGCCACGAACACATTCATGATTGAGAAGCAGCTGCAGTGAGGCAGGAGACACACGATTATCTGGGCAGAGTTGCTGGGGTGGGGCCTGGGAGGGCCCAGGGGCCAAACCCTGAGGTCGCAGGAGGGGGCCCAAAGCGGGGCTAGTGAGTGAGGTCCTGAGTGAGTGGGTCAGCAGCTGGGCCCCTTTCTCCCGCTGCCTACAGCCCCTCCAATACTGCTGCCGGGGGCCCCGCCTCCGGGGATGTGGGGTGAAGAGTAGCCCACTCCTGCTGCAGACTACCAGGTGGCAGGGGACGGCAGGGAAGGCCTGGCCAGGCCTCAGCTGCCTGCCCCAGAGGCCGGTAGGAAGAGGGCAGGGTGGTGGGGAGAGGACAGGGGCTTGCTCAACCGGCTCAGATCCAAGACAGTGCGGTGCTTGCTTGCTGGGTCTCCCAGGAGCTGGGGACTGCACTGGGGCCAGTGACTCCGGCTAGACTGGAGGCAGCAGCTTTTCAAGGAATTCCTTCACAGCTGCCATTTCCTGGGGTTGGAGAAAATGGTGAGGCTCTGGGCTGGAGGGAGAAGGGAGAAGGTGGTAACAGCTGCCCGCACTGACCTGCGGACACGAGCTGTGCATGACACCTGGGTAGGTCTTGAACTGGACCCTGGCAGGTGTGACAACCGACCGGAGCTTCTCAGCTGTCAGGGCTCCAAATCGAACAGGTACCATGGGGTCCAGCTCCCCATGACACTGAAGGATGGCCAGGTCCTTGGCACTGCCATTGGCTGCCTGTGGAGCAGACAGAGGGCCATGCCAGGCTGCAGCACGAGGACCACGCAGCTAGGACACCCAGGGTAGGAGGGGCTGTGGGACAATCACCTGGGGGAAGTTCCGGTGCAGGGGCAGCCAACAGCTCAATGCCACGATGCCAGCCAGAGGGTGGGGGCAGGTGAGAGCTGTGTAGAGGGACAGAGCCCCACCCTGGAGAAAGGACACAAGGGCAGGTCATGAGGGTACAGCTCACCCACCCAGCCCCTCCCCTTCACTCCTCCCTCACCTGTGAAAAGCCACCCAGGACGATCCGATTGGCAGGGATCCCGTTCTTCATCTCGTGCTCAATCAAGGCCTTGACTGGGGAGAGGGGCATGACTCTGGGTGAAGGAAGTGGCTGGGGAGCTCCCCCCACCTAAGGGAGTCGGGTGGTCACTGCCCAGTGCTTTCAGGAAGGGAGGATGCGGGGGGGGGGGGGTCTTACTGTTCTCTGCTGCCTTCTTGATGCCAACCTCATCTTCTGGGGCATCTGGACTCAGCCCCATTAGGTCAAACCTGGGTGACCAGAGGCGTTGGAAGCAGCTGGAAAGCCCAGCCAGCCCCCTGCAGCTCCCAGCTCCCCTCTAAACTTACCAGGAGGGCATCACCATCTTCATGTTGAGTGTCACAGGGATCCTAGGCCTGGGAGGGAGAGCCAGAGGGCCATGATGCTTAGAGGGATAAGGAAGCCACAGCAGAGAAACAGGGAGGGAACAGAGCAGCCCCTGGAGGCCCCTCCCAGCAGGCAGGGCCTGTGTTTAAGGTGTTGCCAGGCAACCTGCCACGTGGGGCTGGAGGCTGTGGCTGGAGCACTGGAAGTGAAGAAGATCCATCTAACATGGTGACAGGGATTCCAGATCGGTGGGTGAGTACTTGGGGAAGGGGCCCAGGAAGCGCTGGTTCCAGGAGATCTGGGGTCTAAGCCCCTGGGGTTGGGGGTAGGAGCACATGCTCAGTGCCCCAGCCCAGGAAGCAGCTGACGGAGGAAGCAGCTGACAGAGAACGGGGCAGGCTGGGAAGCACAGGACACCCCCTGAGCCTTCCCTCGCTGAGATACTTACGCATGGGGACAGATGTACTTGACGTGAGGGAGCCGGATGGTGGAGAGGGCGTCAGCCCAGCTGTGCCTGTAGGACGGAAAGGAAAAGAGACAGTGTTGTGGGAACGGGCAGCCCCTGCCTGCTAGGCCCTGCCCCCTCCCCAAGGAACACCCCATCCTTGCTCTCACCCTGTGTCTCCAAGTCCATGTAAAAAGATAACCTGGAAAAAGAGTAACACACGGGGAGGTGGGAAGCTCCCCTTTCCATCCTCAGCTTCAGCTCACCCCTCCCCAGCCCAGTCCCCTGAGGGAGCTGACACAGGAGCCAACAGGTGATTAACCCTGACCTCCTGGCTTGAGGCTACTCCCTTCTCCTCACTGCCACCTCCACGTTTCCCACACCTCTCCAGGCCATCGTCCTCTACTAGATCTGGTCTAGAGGCTGCTAAGAGTGCCAGGGACCTTACCGCAGCTGTTTCCCGCTCAGCTCCAGACACGGTGGCGGCGTCAGTGAGCAGGGGCACAGACATGGTGTTACCACACATACACTGCAGGAGTCCCTGCAGGCTGGGCCTGGAAGAACGAGGGGCAGTTGGTTCAGAACACAGCCAGGCAGACAGCCTCCTAGCTCAAGAGGCACACACAGGCCAACAGACCCCACAGCACCCAGGTTCAATCTTGGGTGCAGAAAAGACAGGCAAGAGGTGCAAGCTAGCTAGACACTCATAGTTCATGCCTATAATCCTAGCTACCCAGGAAGCTGAGATCTGAGGATCATGGCGGGAAGCCAGCTTGGACAGGCAATCTTCCTTTTTTTTTTTTTGTCAGTTGTCGGGCTTGGCTTCAGGGCCTCAGTGCCACAGCGCCACTTCTGGTTTTCTGGTGGTTAATTGGAGATAAGAGTCTCCTGGGGGCGGGCGCCGGTGGCTCAGGCCTGAAATCCTAGCTACTCAGGAGGCTGAGATCTGAGGATCACGGTTCAAAGCCAGCCAGGGCAGGAAAGTCTGTGAGACTCCTATCTCCAACAAACCACTACTCCAATAAACCGGAAGTGGCATTGTAGCGCAAGTGGTAGAGCACTCGCCTTAAGCTGAAGAGCTGAGGGACAGCGCCCAGGCCCAGAGTTCAGGCCCCATGACTGACAAAAAAAAAAACAAAACCAAAAATGTTCCTTACCTCACTGCTGCCTCAACCTCCCTGGTTTTTAGGACCCCTAGTGGCTGAACCTGGAGGGCTGGGAAAGTGACTGGGTGGTAGAGTGCTTCCCCTGCGTGCATGAGGCCCTTGGTTTGATTCCTCAGCACCACATAAACAGAAAAAGCCCGAAGTGGCATTGTGGTTCAAGTAGTAGAGCACTTGCCTTGAGCTAAAGAGCTGAGGGGCAGCACCCAGGCCTATAGTTCAAGCCCCATAACCGACCAAAAACAAAAACAAAAAAAGTGCCTCCTGGACTTTCCTGCCCAGGCTGGCTTTGAACTGTGATCCTCAGATCTCAGCCTCCTGAGTAGCTAGGATTACAGGCGTTGAGCCACTGGGCCTGGGCTAGACTTATCTCCAATTAACCACCACAAATCCAAAAGAGCTCACACCTGTAATCCTAACTACTCAGGAGGCTGAGAGGGTCAAAGCCAGCTCAGGCAGGAAAATCCATTGAGACTTTTTTCTCCAATTAGTTACCAAAAAAGCCAGAAGTGGAACTGTGGCTCAAGTGGTAGAGCAACAGTTTTGAGCAAGATAGCTCAGAGACAGCATCTACACCCCAAGTTCAAGCCCCAGAACCAGCACCAAAATAAGGGGGAAGGATAGGGGTAGGATATTGACGTCTCAGTACTGGCACCAAAAAGTCCAAGACAGAACGACTGGAAGTTGGCCTCCAAAAGAAGCAAAGGTAGTCTCCTAAGTGGTCCAGAACTCATTCCCTGGTTCTGGCTGAACCCCAGAGGCTGAGCTTGCTCTAGACAGGCAGGGAGCAGAAGTGGGAGGAAGATGGTAACTCCCTCGTTGCAAACTGCCTCCTCCTTGGTCCCCTAGTATCCCTTCTCTAGACTCCTGGGGTTCCTCCTCCCCAAATCTCAGCACTTAGGGAAAATGAAGGGGAGAAAAATGCCAGAGAAATATGTTTCCAGCTCCCTGTCCCCGTCTTCTCCATCTTTCCTCCTTTTCCTTCCATCTAGCCCCCACTCCATCATTTCTGGCTCAACCATTCCCAGGGCCCCCGGGATCCCCTGAGAGGCTAAGGACCCCCCCACCCCACCTGCCACCCACCCCACAACCAGTGTTCCACGCCCCGGCGCAAAGGCTACCTGCTGCTGCTGGTGCGGCTGCTGGTGCTGGGGCCAAGTGACTCCAAATGGGCCCCCAGCTGAACAGGTTCTGGGACTCCCAACACCCCAAGAACGTCAAGCCGGCTGGCCCCTCCCCGCGCTTAGCATCCTTCAAGGTCCGGAAGCTGGCGCCACCTGCCTCTAAGCACCCAACCCTCCTGGGGCGCCAGCCTCCCCGACCCGCTCCCACCCTCCAGCCCCGGCCCGGCCCGGCCCTCACCGGGCTGGCCCTACTACCCCGGGTCCTCAGTCCTCCGCGCAGCGCACCCCGACGGGGTCCCCTTCCGTCTCCACCGCGGGGCGCCCGCCCCCTTCGCCCGACTCCCCGGTCCCCCCCTCCCCATCCCCCGGCAAGACCCCGGGTCCCCCAGCTGCCACAACTCCCGACCTGACTCAAGATGGGCCCCTCCCCACCGAGCGGCCAGCACCTCTGACCCGGGGAGGCCCCGCCCCGCGGGGGGATCGGACCGCCGTCCTCCCGACCGCGAAGCCCCGCTCGCCCCCCGCGGGCAGCCCCCGCCCGGCCGCGCGCGCCCCCCGCGCCCCCGGGTCCGGCCGCGCCGCCGCCCCCTGCGCCCCGGGCCGCCGCCCCCCAGGGCCCCGCACCTCACTCCCTGGGGCTGGCGAGACCGCGGGCTCGGCGATGCTGCCCGTCCTCCCGCAGACACTGTGCCCCCTCGGCCGCCCCCGCCGGAACTTCCGCCCGGGCCGCGGGAGCCCCGCCATCGCGCTGCCGGAAGTGGCCCGGCCGGCCGTACCAAACCCGGAAGCGGGCCCGGGCTTCCCGGCGGGGGCTGCCATGCTGCGACCCGGGGCCGCGCCTCCGGCGGCGGAGCCTGCCCCTCCCCTGCCACCGCCGCCCCGCGCTGCGGCCCGGGCACCGCCGCCGCCGAACTGCTCTTCCCCTCAGCAGGAACAGCCGCGACCGCGCCTTCCGCGCAACGCCCGACGCTGCTGTTCCTGCGCCGTGTTGTTGGGACCTGCCCCCCGGGACCCACTCCACGATCACGGATGGAGTCACACTCTGACCCGAGAGACCTGGCCCCGCCAGCCCTATCGTAAAGATGGTAAAGCTGAGACCCAGGGATAAGTAAATAATCAGCGACCTCAAGATCACAAGAACTGCCTTTCTTGACCTGCTTCCTAAGCTATAAAATTATAATGACCAACCTGCTACTCCAGAGCTTTGCTTCTAGGCTCCGTGAGGCCATGTGAGCACCGTAAAGGCAGTGCCAGGCCTTCCTCACTCTGGAAAGGCCACATCAGGACAGCTTGATCGGCATCAGCGGCGTTCCTAGGACAGTGCTGACCGGCAATGCCATGCAGGGTGCACAAATCTCCACCCAATGAGCCAAGAACAGAAGGGCTTCACTTGGCCACCACTGGGTGGAAAAGGGGCTCAGGGTCCACGGAGGCTGGAAGGCAAGCTGAGTTGGGAGCTATATCCCTGCATGTGGATATGCAAACAGGAAATAAGACATGCTGCCCCTCAATTCTCCAGCTTAACCTAGTCTTTTCTGTGAACTGAAGAAAACTACAAACTTGGAAACTCAACAAAGCACTTTTCTCCAGACCAAGAGGAGGTCTTTATCCAGAGATAGCCTTAAAGCCAGGATTCTGGCCAGGTGGAGGTGGTTCACACATATACTCCTAACTACTTAGGAGACTAAAATTTGAGGATTGAGGTTTGAAGCCAGCCTAGGCAGGAAAGTCCACCAACTCCCAAAAAGCCAAAAATGGAGCTATGGCTCAAGTGGTATAGTGTTAGCTTTGAGCAAAAGAGCTCAGGGACAGTGCTTTGTGAATTCAAGCCACAGGACTGGCATGCGCACAGGAAGAACAAATAAAAAAGGATTCTACAGGGAAGAATTGTGGGAACAGAGTCACAGGAAACAAGTGGCCAGTGGGTGTTGCAAAAGAGGAAAGAAAAAAACAAAAAACTGCCCCCTCTACCAGCTGTACCCTTGCTGGGTCTGCCTCCAGAAGTATACCATTCCTAGAGAGCACAGAATTCTTCAGTGAAGCTTCAGATGAAGAGCCCAGTCCCAAGGGCTGTGATTTCTACTTCAGTCAGAACTAACGGCCAGACTGCTCTGAGATTCCACCTTCTCTGGCCCATGTAAGATTTTTTTTTGGTGTGTGTGGGGGGGTCAGTTGTAGGGTCTGAACTCTGGGCCTGGGCGCTGTCCCTCAGCTCTTCAGCTCAAGGCGAGTGCTCTACCACTTGAGCCACAGTGCCACGTCTGGTTTTCTGGTGGTTAATTGGAGATAAGTCTCAGACTTTTTTGCCTAGGCTGGCTTTGAACTGGGACCCTCAGATCTCAGCCTCCAGAGTAGCTAGGATTACAGGCATGAGCCACCAGCGCCCAGCTCCATGTAAGAAATTTTAAATTCTCTCTTAATCCTCAAAACAATCAAGTGGAACTGAGGCTGTGGCTGAAGAGTAGGTAGGGGACTTGGTGCACCAAGGCCCCACATGTACAGTCAGCTGACTTCAGCTGCATTTCAGGATTTTGAAACCCAACAAGGCTTGGCATGGTGGAATTTTTAAGAACCAACCAGAGAAGTGACTCTTATCCTCCTAACAAGTGTGGGCCAAGCCCCTTGGGGAACTGCAGGAGGATCAAACACAGCACTAACTGCCCTTACTCTGTGTCTTCTGAAAGGGAGCAAACCTCTTTTCACATACTTAAATTCTGTTCAATTGCTGTGCTGACTTACAAATGAAAGCTGCAAGTCTCTGGTTCACCTTTAGGAGTAATGTCCTCAGCCTTGTTTTTTTTTTTTTTGGGGGGGGGGGGAGGGGTCCGGTCATGGGGCCTAAACTCTGGGCCTGGGCGCTGTCCCTCAGCTCTTCAGCTCAAGGCTAGCGGTCTACCACTTGAGCCACAGTGCCACTTCTGGCTTTTTTCTTTTTTGCTTATGTGGTGCTGAGGCATTGAACCCAGGGTCTCAAGCATGTAAGGCAAGCGCTCTACCACTGAGCCACCTTCCCAGCCCCCAGCCTTGCTTTTGATGTGCTCCAGAGCTGTCCTTCCTTGGTTTTTTCCCATGTTGCCCCAGAGATTACTCCCCTGTGAGAAATGGACATAGATGAACCCACAGCAACCTCTTCACAAAACAGAGGAAGAGGAAGTGTTTTTGCCACATTGTACAAAATCAAGCTTGACTTTTCCTAAAAAAAACTGATCTAGTCTTGATTTAATTGTGGCACATATGATCCATCTAAATCAAAACAAAAAATTTCAAAGTACAATATAGTTCTAAGTATTTCGTCAGTACTAACAAGTACACAAAAGAAAATACAAACATTAAGTCTGGCAAGGATTTATTAGGAAGCTTATTAGTCACAGTGAATAAAAGCCATGAACAGAGAACTCAAGAGATCTCCAAATTTCAGCAATGGGCTAACAACACAAGTTAGAAGCTAGTAAACATTAGGGAGACTCCAAAGGGAATCTGATAATTCTCAAACTTAGCCCAAGCAGGTTACTGCACACACAAAAACAAATCCCATGCTCTCCCCAACAGGTTAGGTAGGTAATGAGGAAGACCTTCCCAGGCGACCAAGCACAGGAGACTCTTTCCTGCCTTTCCAGCTATCGCCACAGGACACTGCGCGTGTCAGACCACTCCAAGCTGGGTAACTTGACAAGAATGCCGAGCAATGACAGAGAGAAGGAACAAGCAGGGACACGTGTCTCTAGGTAGAGACCCTCATGATGGAAAAAAAAAAAAAGGAAAAAACCCTACAAACCAGAGGCTGTGGTAGGATTCCTACAGCCCAGGAAGTTTCCATTATGAAAAAAAAAAAATCACACAAACCCACAAGCACTTGGGACCCATGGCCACGCTGACTGGAAAAGCAAGTGTTATCCATGACTGCTAGATGCCACCCGGCCTACACTATCTGCAGGGCCTAGAGAGCCATGGTGGACCTGGGCACCCATGCCACTCCTCAGGCCAGGTTTCTGCAAAGCCTCTAAGACGAAGTCTGGCCGGAGCAGAAACTCTCATTGGAGCCTCATCTTCGTCCTTCCCAGCAGGCGGTCATACACATCCACTGACAGCACCGAGGGAGCCCAGGCCACCCTAGGAAATGAAGTGTGTCTGGGGGGAAACCTGATGGACCTGGTGGTCTGCCGGGTTGGCCGAGGCTTCATAGTTGCAGATGGTCACCTCGTGTCGGCGAAGCTGCAAAACAATAGGAGGCCAGGTCAGTGGCCACAAGAACCACTCTCTCCCAGGGCACTCTGCAGGGTGCTTATTCAGTGCCTCACTAGAAACTGTCTCTAAAGCTCTCCTCTGTGAAGACCAACTTAAGAAACTTGCAAAGGCCATTAATCGACCCAGACACTCCAGTGGGGCACTGGGAAAAGAGGCCCTGTCTCATTTACACCACCTTGACTCTGGAGGACAGTGCATAATTATGAAACCAAGAAAAATCCCAAATACAGCAAGTGACATCTCACTAAGCCCCCATGATGTTCGGACATGTATTAACACTCTTACCTCAGTCCATTCTCCTCTCAGGCCAATATAAAAGACCTTTGTGGTATCTGCTCCAAAGTTTTTAGAAATATGAATGGAGAGATGATAGACATTTGAAAAGCGGGAAATTCTAGAAGATGGCAAGGAGGGAGAAAAGACATGTTACTACTCAGTGAGCATTCCACCACTAAGGCAAACAACAGTTCAGCTCCAACTTGTGGCAAGTCAGGCAAATCAGAGAACATGCTTGGATTCTTCTTTCTCCTTTGGACAAGTAATAATTCAGTAAATATTTACTAGGCATTGTCAGATCCTGCCTGTGACAGTAGAGATAAAAAAGCAAAGCCAGGTGCGGGTGGTGCACACCTGTAAAGCTAGCTACCCAGGAGGCTGAGATTTGAGGATCAAGGTTCAAAGCCAGCCTGGGCAGGAAAGTCCGTGAAACTTTTATCTCCAATTAACCACCAGAAAACCAGAAGTGGTGCTGTGGCTCAAGTGGTAGAGTGCTAGCCTTGAGCTGAAGAACTCAGAGACAGCACTTAGGCCCAGAGTTCAAGTACCACGACCAAAAAAGAAAAGGAAAAAAAAAAGCGAAGAAGCACAGCTTTTACCCACAAGAACAGGAAGGAGAAACAGGGTATAACCAAATGGACTTCTAAAGTATTGGTGTTGACCTTACCCATAGGAAAAAGGGAAAACTAATGACAAGGTGATGTGGTCACATGTAACTCAGCCTACTCACTAGAAACCTACTACAGAAAAAGGAATTCTAAAAACATATTTCCTGAGACTAGGTCAACATCCAAATCTGCCAGGTGCTTTAACAATTCTGTGGCTGGCATTGAACCTCTGCCAAACATTTCCCAAGTTTCCAGGCACTGATGGCTTATAGCTGTAATCTTAGCTACGCAGGAGGCTGAGACCTGGAGGATCACGATTTGAAGCCAGACCAGCAGAAAAGCTTTTAAGGCTCTATCTCCAATTATCCAGAAAAATGTCAGACTGGAAGCTGGGCACGAGTGGCTCATGCCTGTAAATCCTAGCTACTCAGGAAGCTGAAACATGGACACACACACACACACACACACACACACACAAACACACACACTCCTACCTCCAGCAAGTGAGAGAAAAACCACAGATGCAGGTGCATGCCTGCAATCCCAACACCAGAAGGCTGAGACAGCAGGATCATGTAGCCACCCTGCCTATATGGAGAGACTCTAACAAGAAAAAATTTAAAAAGCCACAGAGAAGCAAAACAGGTTCCATGCTTACTTTGTAGCATACTCTAGCTCCCCGGTAAGATCCCGGTTCAGACTAAAGGTTTGATCTGGCTCTCTTTCTGTGTCATCAAATGACATCTGTGGAATGTTCTTATACCTGAGAAGGGAAAGTCAAAAGTCAAAAAATACATATAATCAAAATTTTCAGTTTGTCTACACTTTTGCCTTAACTGTTCACCTGGCTTTAGTTCCATCAAAAGGAAATTAAAAAAAAAAAGTGGGGTTGAATTTTAGAAAATCTTTACGCCAACAAGAAAATTGCTGAGATCTGGGGTACACAGCAAGACCTTGCCTCAGGAAAAAAAAAAAAAGAAAAGAAAAAGAAACCAGTGGGATCTATGAGCAGGCTAAGATCGCATGACAAGCAATATACAGAGATGGCTAGGTCACGTGCCTGGAGAGAACAAGCAACTCAGCACAAAACCAGCAGCTCAGCGGAGGACGTGAAATTCAACGAGTACTCATGGAAAACAATACATACTTTGGCAGAAACATTAAACACTGTTGAGAGATAAGATCATGTGACCCAACCCTCAAGCATTTGTGATGTCCAAACAGTACCTGATACAGTCAGTCATCATGATTACACATCTTACAGTTATGAAGATAACACAATTTGGGGATTTCCATTTTGAAAATGCACATTAACTTTGCAAGCACACAAATGATTTTTGGAAAGACAAGGTGAAACCTCTAGAAAGGAACACCGGTCTGTATCACCCATAAATTCTGAAGCACCAACCTACATATTACCACCACCTCCAGGGTGTTTGGTTAATCTAGGCCAAAAAAAAAAAAAAGTCACCTAGATTTTATTTTATTTATTTTTTGTCAGTAGTGGGGCTTGAACTCTGGGACTGAGCGCTATCCCTCAGCTATTCAGCTCAAGGATAGTGCTCTACCACTTGAGCTACAGCACCATTCCCAGTTTTTTGGTGGTTTATTGAAGAGTTTCACAGACTTTCTTGCCCAGGCTGGCTTTGAACCAATCTCAGCCTCCCGAGTAGCGAGGATTACAGGTGTGAGCCACTGGCGCCCAGCTGGCACCTAGATTTTAGATGCAGCAAAACACATATAACTTAAAAGAGCAAATGTTAGTTTTGAAGTGTTTCTAAGAATGATACAGAGCACAATAATAATGGTGGCTATTTCTGAGCAGTATTTACAAGGCAGTGCAGCAGCGCTCTAGGTAAAAGCAGTTTCTCAACCTATAGAACAAAATATAGTTCAAACTTATTCATTCAACAAGGGATTAATAGTCAAGGGAATAATATATAATATAATTAATAAATAATAATATATAAGGGCTTGGCCAGGTATTGGTAGCTTTCATATATATAATCCTTGCTATTCAGGAGGTTAAAATCAGAAGATCAAAGTTCAAAGCAAGTCCTACAAATTCAAAACCAGGAAAAAAAAGCCAGAAGCGAAGGTTCAAGTATTAAAGCACAAGCTGTAAACTTGAAAAGCCAAAAGGTAAGAATGAGAGGCCATACCAGCAAAAAAAAAGGCAGAATATATACAGAACTCACAGCTAGGCTTGGTAGACCACATCTGTAAACCCAGCACTGAGGTAACAGAAGCAAGATCACCAGTTTGAGGCCAATCTCAAAAAGTAGTAAGACCCCATCTCAAAGAGCCAAAAAGGAGGACTGGAGGTGTGGCTTTGTGATAAACTGAAATATGAGGCCCCAAGTTCAAACCACAAATAAATAAAACCCACAATTTCATTGTGGGTTCAATTCACTCCGTTAGGATACCTGTTATCAAAAAGGTAACAAACACTAGTAAGAATGAAGAGAAAGAGGAACTAGTATATACCATTAGTGAGAATGCAAATTAGAATAGTCACGATGGAGAACTATAAGAAGAATCCTCAAAAACAAGGAATAGGGCCCAGCACTGGTGGCTCATGCCTATAATCCTAGCTACTCGGGAGGCTGAGATCTGAGGATTGTGGTCTGAAGCCAGCTGGGGCAGAAATAAGCTACTCAGAAAAAGCTGGAAATGGCCTGGGAAGATGGCTCAGTGGTAGAGCGCTTGCCTTGCATGCCTGAGGCCCTGGGTTCAATTCCTCAGCACCACATAAGCAAAAAGAAAAAAGCTGGAAGTGGCACTGTGGCTCAAGTGGTAGAGTACTAGCCTTGAGCTGAAGAGCTGAGGGACAGCGCCCAGGCCCAGAGTTCAGGCCCCACAACCGGACCCAAAAAAGAAAAGAAAAAGCTGGAAGTGAAGTGGAGCTGTGGCTCAAGTAGTAGAGCTCTAGCTTTGAGCACAAGGAGGCTGAGGGAAAATGTACAGGCCATGAATTCAAGCCCCAGGACTGGAAAGAAAACAAAAACAAGGAACAGCTGGGCACCAGTGGCTCATGCCTATAATCCTAGCTACCCAGGAGGCTGAGATCTGAGGATCACAGTTCAAAGCCAGCCCGGGCAGGAAAGTGGCACTGTGGCTCAAGTGGTAGAGCACTCACTTTGAGCTGAAGAGCTCAGGGACAGGACCCAGGCTGAGTTCAATCCCCATGAACTACCAAAAACAAACAATAGAAGAAAAGAAAAAAAAAAAAAAAAAACAGAAAAACAACAAGGAAAAGAACTGCCACATGCTCCACAGGGACACCTACTCAAAGAAAACAAAGTCAGTATGTCGGAGACACCAGCACCAATGGCTCACACCTGTCATCCTAGCTACTCAAGAGGCTGAGATCTGAGGACCACAGTTCAAACCAGCCTGGGCAGGAAAGCCCGTGAGACTTTTATCTCCAATTAATCACCAAAAAGCCATAAGTGGTGCTGTGGCTCAAGTGGGGTAGTGCTAGTAACCTTGAACAAGAAAGCCAAGGTCAAGTTCAAATCCCAGTATGGACAAACAATACACAGAAAAACACCAACACTTTACTACCTGCTACTTATTATGGCACTGTTCACAGTAGCTCAGATATAGACTCATGAGTGAAAGAACATAGAAAGTGGCATATATACACTGTGAAGTATTAGTCATAAAAAGCATCTTCTGTCATTTGGAACAGCATGGATGAGCCTAGAGGACATTATGTTAAGACAGTCGGACACAGAACAATAAAAACTATGTCCTTACTTACATATGGAAGCTACACAAGCTGATCTCACAGAAACAGAGCATGAAATAGTGCTTAGGTCAGGTACCAGTGGCTCACACCTATAATCCTATCTACTGAGGTAGCTGAGATCTGAGGATCAAGAATCAAAGCCAGGCCAGGAAGGAGGGGGGTGGAAAGAGGGGAGAGGGAGAGGGGGGGGAAGGGAAGGAGAGGGAGAGGGAGAGAGAGAGAGGGGGAGAGGGGGGAAGGGAGGGAGAGGAAGAGAGAGTGTAGGAGAGGAAGGGGAGAGAAGAGTGTGAGTGTGTGTGTGAAGGAGAGGGAAGGAGGGGGAGAGAGGAGTGTGTGTGTGTGTGTGTGTGTGTGTGTGTGTGTGTGTGTGTGTGTGTGTGTGTGTGTGTGTGTGTGTGTGTGTGTGTGTGTGTGTGTGTGTGTGTGTGTGTGTGTGTGTGTGTGTGTGTGTGTGTGTGTGTGTGTGTGTGTGTGTGTGTGTCCTGGGGCTTGAATTCAGGGCCTGAGCAGTGTCCCTGAGCTTCTTTTGCTCAAGGCTTGAGCCACAGCACCATTTCCTGCTTTTCCTATATAGGAATCGAACTCAGGGCTTCATCATGCCAAACAAGCACTCTACCACTAAGCCACATTCCCAGCCCTCCATGAGACTTATCTCCAACTGACCATCAAAAAGCTGAAAGTGGAGGTATGGCTCAAGTGATAGAGAACTACCTTTGAGCAAAAGAAACTCAGGGACAGTGCCCAGGCTCTTAGTTCAAGCCCTAGGACCAGCACAAAAACTAAATGTTCACACTACCAGGTACCAGTGACTCATGCCTATAATCTGTAATCCTAGCTATTCAGGATGCTGAGATCCGAGGATTGTGGTTCAAAGTCAGCAGGAAAGTCTGTGAGACTCATCTCCAATGAACCACCAAAAAAACAGAATTCATCTCCAATTAAACACTGAAAGACTGTAAGTGGAGCTGGGGTTCAAGTGATAGAACACTAACCTTGAGCAGAAAAGCTAAGGGACAGGGCTGGGAAGGTGGCTCAGCAGTAGAGTGCTTGCCTCACATGCATGAGGCCCTGGATTCAATTCCTCAGCACCACATAAACAGAAAAAGCTGGAAGTGGTGCTGTGGCTCAAGTGGTAGAGCGTTAGCCTTAAGCTGAAGACCTGAAGAGCTGAGGGACAGCGCCCAGGCCCGGAATTCAGGCCCCACAACTGACAGAAAAGAGAAAAGGGATCCAGAACCTAAGTTCAAGCCCTAGTTTGTTACGTACACATGCACGCGTGCGCACATACACACCCACACACAGATATACAATTTTACCCAAAAAAGATTTCAGCATACACTCCTAAAAATCAAGGATTTCTTTAAAAGAACGTATCTGAAGCCGGGCGCCGGTGGCTTATGTCTATAATTCTAGCTACACAGGAGGCTGAGATCTGAGGATTGCAATTCAAAGCCAACTCGGGCAGGAAAGTCCATGAGACTCTCATCTCCAATAAACCACTAGAAAACCGGAAGTGGTGCTGTGGCTCAAGCGGTAGAGCGTTTGCCTTGAGCTGAAGAGCATAGGGACAATGCCCAAGCCCAGAGTTCAAGCCCCACGTCCGACTAAAAAAAAAGAACGTATCTGAGGCACACAGTAATTCCTTAATATCACCTAACATCTATTCTGTCCTCATATTTCCCTGATTTAAGATTATCAACGTTTCTGAACCTATCAATGCCAGGCCATTAAATCCAAGTATTATTATTCCCCCTCTATTAACTGTATGTAAATCAATAGTGCATTTGCAATCAGTGACAGCTTAGAATCTGGAACATAAGTTTGCCCAGTTTTGGATGAGCAGGTACAAATACTTAACACGTGTGCTACATACATTTCAGAGCCCCGTCGTTCTAAGCATTTCATATAAGTCTCATCACAGTCACATGAAATGAACTATCACTACTGTCATTTATATAAGAAAATCAAAGCATAGCCATGGAGCAGCTAGCCACATATAGGCAGTTTATTTCAGAGGCTCATCTCTAAACCACAAAACAACAAATTTAAAAGCAATTTTCTACACTCATGATTGTAATCCTAGCTATTCAGGAGGCTGAGATAGAAAGATTTGAGGTTCAAAGCCTGCCTGGGAAGAAGCCAAATCTGGAGACTTTTATCTCCAATTATCCAGCTAAAAGCTGGAAGTGGAGGCATGGCTCAAGTAGAAGGCACACACAAAAGATTTATGTAAAGTTCCTCCATCACTCAGAAAGCACTTTTCTTCTTTAAGAAAGGCTACCCTGGAATTAGGATTCCGGTAGGAAATTTCACGCTGGGAGTGATAATAGGCACCTACAAGAACCCTACCTCCAGAAGATAGACTCATCTATCTATCTATCTATCTATCTATCTATCTATCTATCTATCTATCTATCTATCTATCTGTCTGTCTGTCTATCTATCTATCTATCACCTATTTGCCCACTTCCTATCTATGTGGTATAGGGGTTTGACTTTAAAGCCTTGAATTTGCTTAACTTGCTTGCTAGACTGACACTCTACCTTTGAACCAAATCTCCAGCCTGGCTTGTTACTCGTTTTTTACTCTAACTGGCTTCCAACAGCCATCCTCCAAGTCTCAGCCTTCTGAATAGCTAGAATTTCAGGCGTGAAGGACTGGTACATGCCTGTCATTTTCTCTGAATTCGGATAGTAAGTGTCTGGATCCATAACACAAGCTCTGGTGGCATCCACAGGTGTCATTTTGCAAGAGGTACACAGAACCTTGCTAACTAAAGTCCACAAAAACTCGACCGGAGAAATTCCACATCAACACAACACATGCAAAGATGACTACTGCATGAAATGGCAAGAGGGAATTTTGACGCTTCCTCCAAGTGTAGAGTCATAAAGATCAATGGAGATCTGCAGCTGGGTTTAGAAAAGTGCAGAGTCATCGACGCAACTGGCAGTTACTGAATGCTCTCTGAATGCATGATGCCATGGTAAGCACTTTGGAAAAAAAGAGATAAGCTTTTGGCCCTAAAGATGCTTCATTTAAAATGTCAGCGGGCTGGGAATGGGGCTCAGGAGTACAGTGCTTGCCTTGGTGCATTTGCAAAGGTCTTGGGTTCTATCCCTAGCACAAAAAATAAAAGTCATTAATGCCAGAAGAGATGAGACCCAGAACCTGTTGCAGAAAGAATCTACTGAGGCTGGTAAAAGAAAGGAAAAAACAAAACAAAACAAAACAAAAAAAAAAAAAAAACGGCATTCTGGAACAAAGTGTTACCAGAGAAAGAGAACTAGGAGCTTCTTGAGGGCCTAAGCTCTTATCACTTACAGTCTCATCTCAGAGGGGTGTGAGTCATCATCCTCTCCCATTATGATGATGCCTTTGAGCTTGACGTTGCCCGTAAATCTGCCGAAATGCAAAAGAGAACCTGGTCAACTTGGGATTCAGTCCTGGTTGAACTTTGACAAGCCCTATTACCAACCCCCCCCCCCCAAGCAAGACCCCTTTCTGACCTCAGTCTACTCATCTGGCAGTCTTCTACTAGATGATTTCTAAGATCCTGTCCATCTCTGGCAGTCTGAAATTCTAAAAATTTTCCTCAACCTCTCAGCTATCATTCGATAAATATATCTGTTTCTAGTCTGCACCAAGAGAGCCAGAATGCTTTCTTCCTGAAGCCCACCGGAAGTAATTTACCCTATTTCTAGAAAACAGATGTGTACTCTAGACAACCAACGACAAGCTGAGTGAAGAGGCAGCTGGGTACAGACTTTGCCTCAGGCAGGTGATACTTACGGAATATTAAACAGAAGTTCTTCATCTGCATCACTTTCAACAAACTGGGGGGGAGGGGGGAGGAGGAGAAAGCAAAATATTTGCTGAGAGGCTACAATTTCAGGCATCTCCCACTCTGTTCTACAAACTGGGAACAACGCAAACAGGCTTCCTGGTCTTCCAGGATTTATTAGCTTGGAGGAGCTAATTTATTTCCTCCACAGTGCTCTCAACAGACGCAGATCATCCAAATAGAGGGTTCCCAATGGGGAAAGCCTCTTGGATCGCGAACTGGAAGACCAGGGTTTGTTTCTTCTGGAGAGAGGGTCCTTGGCCTCAACAGGCTCGAAGCTGGGAAACACCCATCACCTCCCGCTCGCTGGTCTCCACCAGGCGATCCGCTCGGGCACCCATCGGGCCCAGGGAGGGTCAACCAGCAGAGAAAACGCTCTCAGGGACACCCTCCCCTCCCCTCCCGGCCTCGGAACAGAGCTGCGGACAGCCAGAGCGCCCGCCTGGCCTCTCTGGGCCTCAGTTTCCCTACGTGGGGATGGGGAGACTCAACCCCACTCGTTTCCCAAACGGCTAGTAAGAGGTCGGCATAGGAAAGCGGCCGGCGACCGGGCTGTGGTTATTTTCAACCTGGGCCGGGCCGGGCCGGGCCGGGCCCACCTTGGAGCGGTCGGCCCGCTCCTCCCACGGCTTGAACACGCCGCGGCCGCTGCCCTCGCGGCTCTCGTTGAGGCACTGCAGCCGCTCCAGGTCGATGCGCAGGTACAGGCCGTAAGCCAGGCCGCGCTGCTCGGGTGGCTCCTCTCGTTCGGCGGCGCAGCGACAGCCGCCCCCACCGTGGCTGTGGCCGTGCGACATGGCGATGCCACCGCCCCGCGCGTCTCGCTACCCCGCCGCCCGCCGGCGCCCAACTCGCCCCGCTCCGGCCGCCAAGCGCCGCCGCGTCCGCCGCGTCGTAAAAAGCGCTCTCGCGCCGCGCAGGCGCCCTGGAGAGGGGGTGTGGTCTCGCGGAGGGGGCGTGGCCCTCCAGGATTGACGTCGGATCTGCGTCTGCTGAGGTGGGTGTGGTCGCTACCTAACCTTCCCCGAGAGTGGCGTTAGCGCCTTGTCCCGCCCGGGGTCCCCGGGGCCGACCGCCTGCGCCCTCTTCTCTGACAACCGGGTTTCTTCGTTTCTTCCGGGAAGAGGCGTCGCGCTGTTCCCACGTGCGCGCTCACAGACCCGCCTCCCTGACCCTTTTGCTTGGTCGGTGGGCTGTGTGCGCGCCCAAACCGAGGCCGGTGCTGGGCCGGCCCTACGCCCGAGGCCCCGAGAAACGCATTTCCCTCCTGCGGAGACAGGTTCCTATCTGTGACGTGAAGAACGGTGTCTGTCGTCAGGATCTCCAGGAGCCATGCATGAAATGGAGCAATTCGAGAACTCAGCGCCGGGCGTGGTGGCCCAGGCCGGGCTGAGGCCCGAGGATCAGGCGTTAGAGGACAGCCTAGGCCACATCACGGGACCCCACCTCAAAACAGAAGATGGACCAAAAATACACAACCAAAGATCGCAGTTCAGTGGCTGAGACAAAGCAGATACGTCATACTTAAGTCCAAGCACTGGCACTCACTTAGCTGTAAGGTCTTGGGCCAGTGCTTTAGTCTTTCTGAAGTTAAGCTTATTCCCTGTAAAGTGAAAGGCTAAACTGTGTGTGTGTGTGTGTCCTGGGGCTTGAACGTAGGGCCTGGCACTGACTGTGAACTTTTTTGCTCAAGGCTAGTGCTCTACCACTTGATCCACAGTGGTTAATTGGAGATAAGAGTCTCGCGTGGTATTTCCTACCTGGGCTGGCTTCCAACTGCAATAGTCAGATCTCACCCTCCTACTGAGTAGCTGGCTGGGATTACAGGTGTGAGCTATGGTGATAGCTAATATGATCTTTAACTTGCCTTTTTTCTTTTTTTGGGTCCGGTTGTGGAGCCTGAACTCTGGGCCTGGGCGCTGTCTCTCAGCTCTTCAGCTCAAGGCTAGCGCTCTATCACTTGAGCAACAGCACCACTTCCGGCTTTTTTTTCTTTTTGCTTATGTGGTGCTGGGGAATCGAACCCAGGGCCTCAGGCCTGCAAGGCAAGCGCTCTACCACTGAGCCACCTCCCCAGCCCTAACTTGCCTTCTTACAATGACTTTTCAGAACTGATCTTTCAAACAGCTGCCTGTGGCCCATTAATACTTATTTAGTGACAGTGCTTGAATTTGGGGCCTGGGCACTGTCCCTTTATTTTGTGGGAGTTTTGTTGTTGTTGTTTTGTTTTGCCAGTCCTGGGGCTTGAACCTGGGCACTGTCCCTGAGCTTCTTTTGCTCAAGGCTAGCACTCTACCACTTGAGCCATAGCACTGTTTCTGGCTTTTTCTATTTATGTGGTACTGAGGAACCGAACCCAGGGCTTCTTACATGCTAGGCAAACACTCTGTCACTAAACCACATCCCCAGGGCTGTCACTCCACCATGTGAGCCACAGCTCCACTTTCAGCTTTTTCTGGGTAATTGGAAATGAGTCTCAGAATCTGGCTTTGAACCTCAATCCTCAGTTCTCAGCCTCATATGTAGCTAGGATTACAGGGTAAGCAACTGGTGCCCAGCCTCCATTCAGAAATGTTTTGAGGGCTGGGAAGGTGGCTCAGCAGTAGAGTGCTTGCCTCGCATGCATGAGGCCCTGGGTTCAATTCCTCAGCACCACATAAACAGAAAAAGCCGGAAGTGGCGCTGTAGCTCAAGTGGTAGAGTGCTAGCCTTGAGCTGAAGAGCTGAGGGACAGCGCCCAGGCCTAGAGGTCAAGCACCATGACCAAAAAAAAAAAAAAAGGAATGTTTTAATGCCCTATGTCAGTTATCTGTGAAAAAGGCAAGCATAATTCTGCTTCAAAGTGACTCAAGACCACTCACTATTTCTGCTTTTACATGTAGTAAAGACTTAGACAATGTTGTTTTTATTGAATAATATGTACTTCTTAACTTTTCTTTGGAAAGACTAACTCCCACTGGATGACCATGGCAGGCCTTATGCAGGACATGTATACACTTGGACTTCTTTCATCTCCATCATCATCCTTGGATGGTTTATGGAGCTCGATGGGCCAGGCATTGTGCAAAGCACAATGATTATTATCTTAATTGTCACGTGAGAAAAAGCTAACTGAACTCTTAACTTGAACATGAGACATGAAAGCTAAAAGAGGTGAATTGGGAAGAGATCAGATACTATTAGGAAGTACCAGGCTTTGGAGTCGTGCAGTAGCGAGGAGCTCCTCCTCAGGTTTTCTAGGGGAGGGAGGAGGAGGGGCAGAAGATGATGTTCAGGAAGTCATTGTGTTGTATTAATTGGTTGATGGTGTGTAAAATGCATTCTAAACCTAGTAACTTTAAACAGCAAGCATTTGTTTTTCAGCTTTGTGGATTAGTTAGGTAATCGTTCTTTCCTGGGCCAGTTCCTCATGGGCTGGAAGTTTGGAGTCGTTGATATTGTGGTATGGAATGATGGGGCCCGTAGAGTACCTGAACTTAGTTAAAAGATAACAGTCACAGGCTGGGAAGGTGGCTCAGTGGTAGAGTGCTTGCCTCGCATGCGTGAGGCCTGGGTTCGATTCCTCAGTACCACATAAGCAGAACAAGCTGGAAGTAGCTCTGTGTCTCAAGTGGTAGAGCACTTGCCTTGAGCTGAGGAGCTGAGGGACAGCGCCCAGGCCCAAAGTTCAAGCCCCACGATGGACCCCCCCCCCCAAAAAAAAGAGAGAGATGATAGTCACCACCTTCCCTGGAGCACAGCATGCGTGTTTTGGTATTTGGGAGATTTTTTTTGGGGGGGGGGGGTGGTCGGTCATGGGGCTTGAACTCTGGGCTTGGGCGCTGTCCCTGCGCTCTCCAGCTCAGGCGAGCACTCTAACGCTTGAGCCACAGCGCCACTTCCAGTTTTCTAGTGGTTTATTGGAGATAAGAGTCTCACAGACTTTCCTGCCCGGGCTGGCTTTGAACCATGATCCTCAGATCTCAGCCTCCTGAGTAGCTAGGAATACAGGCATGAGCCACCAGCGTCCGGCTTTTGGGAGATTTTTGTATTTGGTTTGTGGGTTTGGTTTTTGAGATAATCTTGCTATGTAGTTAAAGCCAGACTGAAATTATATTTGTATGTATGTTCTGGGGCTTTAACTCAGGGCCTGGGCACTGTCCATGACCTTTTTTGCTCAAGCCTAGTACGCTTGACCCACAGCTCCACTTACAGCTTTTTCTGGTTAATAGAAGATAATAATCTCATAGACTTTCCTACCTGGGCTAACGTTGAACTTCTATTTACTTATTTTTTTGCCAGTTGTGGGGCTTGAACTTGGGACCTAGATGCTGTCCCTGAGCTCTTTTTGCTCAAGGCTAGAGCACTACCACTTAGAGTCACAACTCCACTCCTGGTTTTCTGGTAGTAATTGGAGATGAGAGTCTCATGGACTTTCCTGCCCAGGCTGGCTTCAAACCCCAATCTTGGATCTTAGCCTCCTAAGTAGGTAGGATTACAGGTGTGAGCCACCAGCGCCTGGCTTACAAACACTTTTCAATAGAGAGATAGACTTCACCTCTAAGTTAGAAGAACTATGATTCCTACCACCTATTTTACCTGTGTTCCTTTCCTTCTGTTGTATAACGCATTACTCCCAAACTTACTGACTTCCCACAACAATTAATACTTACTGTTTCATAGTTTCAGTATGTCAGGAATGTGGGGGGGTGTCTCAGGCTGGGTGCTTCCCACTTGGGGTCTCTCAGAAGTCTGAGTGGATCTGCAGGATCCAGTTCCAAGATGGCATACTCACATGACACAGGTTTGTATAGGAAATAAGAGTCTCACGGACTTTCCTGCCTGGGCTGCTTTGAAGTGCAGTCCTCAGATCTCAGCCTCCTAAGTAGCTAGGATTACAGGCATGAGCCACCAGTGCCGGGCTACTTCTTCTGGCTTTTTGAGGGTTGGTTGGAGGTAAGAGTCTCATGGGCTTTCCTGCCCAGGCTGGCTTCAAAACATGATCCTCAGGTCTCAGCCTCCTGAGTAGCTAGTACTACAGGCATAGCTAAAGGCACCTGGCCCTTTCCTTATTTTCCAAATGGGGCCATGAGATTCTGTACCCCACAGGATCCTGTGGACAGTGCATGCAGGTGCATGAGCAGATTGGGTTAGTCCTCCCCAACTGTGTGTTGCTCCATATCCCAGAATCTAAAAAAAGGTCCCATCTCAGCAGATGTTGTAGTGAAGGGACAAAGGACTGACTTACAAACTCTAGATGCAATCATCCATCACAATGTCACATTCCATAATTAACTTCAAAGCAATTTCCTGAGATCCAGTAAAGGATTGTGAAAAATAAGTCCATATCACAGGTGAAGAATACCCTCCTTAGGAGGAGGGCTAAGAAAACTGTCTCTGTGATACACGTTTGGTTTGGTGTAAGGTCCAGTGCCTTCTATGGATGCAGGGCTAAAGCCCAGCACATGCTGAGATTTCTGCAGTGTACTTGGGGCCTTCCTAATGCTGACTGATCTGTCTGCCTCCATCCCTCACTGTGGTTTGAACTTTTCTTTTTGTCCAGTCCTGGGGCTTGAACTCAGGGCCTGGGCACTGTCCCTGAGCTTCTTTTGCTCCAAGCTAACACTACCACTTTGAGCCACAGTGCCACTTCTGGCTTTTTCTGTTTATGTGGTACTGAGGAATCAAACTCGGGGCTTCATATATGCTAGGCAGGCACTGTACCACTAGACCACATCCCCAGCCTGGAGCCCCTGAACTCTTTTAAGACTTGAACTTGGTAGGCAGGTACTGGACCACTTGAGTCACTCTACTCTTTTTGTATTATTTTCATGACAGTATCTTGCTTTATGCCTAGGCCACCTGGACTGCAATCTGCTTCACAACACTGACAGATGCAGGTCTCTATACCCAGCTATATTCCCCTTAGCTGGGATGGCAGAGGCAACACTGGTTGAGATGGAGTCTCTCAAACTTCTTTTGCCCTGTCTGACTTTGAACTTCCCCAGTCTTGGCCTCCCAAGAAGCTAAAATTATAGGTGTGTTCGTGTTCATGATCTTGCTACAGTGCTAACAGAAGACTGAGGGGACACCTGTGCCCTTCATGCCCCCTGGGACAGACTGCAAGTTGAAAGAGCTCAGGGTTTTAAATCCTTCTTGCCACGTGAACCATGCAGCATGGACATTAGCACACCTTTGGGTTGTAGTTTCTACCTGTACGTTGCACTTAGCTCAGCCCCAGGGACTGTGTGGATCTCAACTAGTACTCCCTACACCTGAGTTTCCCCCCTCCTTTTGCACTCTGGCTCACCACCCCTAAAACTCCACTCCCCTAACCTTCTTCCTGTATCATCAACAGAAACCCAGCTTCCCCTAAGGCCAGGCCCCAAGACTAAGCACACCGCCTCAGCCCAGGAAACAAAATCCTGTGAGACCTCCATTCCTTGACCAAACATGCAAGAAAGACTCCAATAGGTAGAGTTTGTTCTTTATTTAGACATGGGATTTTCCTTTTTGTATAACTTATCTAATTAAAATATTCATCTTCATCATTACCACAAAAAAGTAACATAGAAAATTGTATTTACATTTTGGGACCAAAATACAAATGAAGAGCAGGATGAGCCCTTGCTCCTGCCTCTCCTGCCTCCAGGAAGGCGCCTGGAGAACCTGAATGAAGGGTCACAAAAGGCTAATCTGTAATTTGGTGGTTTGTATGTAATGTAGTACAAAATAATTGTACATTTTCAGAGACTAAAATTTCAACATTGTTGTATGTTTGCTTGGCAGTCATGTCAATGAGCTAGGTGGGCAGATCGTGAGGAAAGTCAGTGTTTCCTCTTCCCCCCCAAACAGTCCCCAACTCTATCCCAAGAGAGCTAGCCTGTCAGCCCCTGCTGACAATAACCCCCCTTTCACTGTAAAAAACAAAAAGAGTCCTAGACCATGAGAGAAAGACCCAGGAAGATCTGGCTCTGCGAACAGGGCTTACAGGAAATCTTTAGGTGCCCAAACTGGATTCAGATGTTGTATACATAACCGCGTCCTTTCTTCTCTTTCCACCAAAAGACTTCTACTAAAGGAAATTAAATCACACACGAGTGAATCTGAACTAGGAACAACTGGAAACACAGCGACAAGACAGATTGAAGGTGGCACTTAGAGGAAGCTGTTGCCGGCAAGAGGTAACCTGGCTGTGATCTAAAATGTTCATCTGGTTTCAGGGAAGAAAGGTCTCTAATATTGGATTTGGTAGGTAGATCAGGCTTAGAGATAGAAGAGCAATGGTCAACAAGTGATCAAGAGAAATAGTTCTTTACTAATTCAAAAATACAGCAAATTAAAACACTGTCATACTTGTGTCCCATTGCAACAGGCACCCTAGCCAGCAATGCACACTGAGAACTGAGGAGCCCTGGTTATGTGGGTTTCCTGTGTTGCCTAAGTGAGGTCTCCAGGATGGTTGGAAGGGTGAATTCCACCTTCCAGACTTTGAGAACTGATGTGATGACCAGACTTAGCAGGCTGGCTGGCAGTCCCACCAGCCAGCTCTCCCTTCTGCTTTGCAGATTCCATGGGGTGTAAATCTCAAATTCATAGCATCTATTTCTACATGGGTTCCAACCTGGAAGCCAGGAAGGAGCTGGTGCTGCCCTCCTCATTTTGATCCTGCTCCTGACAGCTAGGAGGTGAGAGCCTCTATCCAGCTGGATGGACGCACCCTGTGGTTCCCCCTCCTCCAGACACAGGCCCTTCACACCCTGGCTGGCACACTTGGAAGGCAGAGGGTAGAGTTCTCTACCAGACATAGCATAGCGCTGTGCTCTTCTACCTATATCACCTTTTCTTTCAAAGAAAAGGCAGGAACAAAAGCAATTTTCAACAGAGCGTTCCAACTCTCACGACTTTTTACCATTCACAGGGAGCAAGAGATTAAAGTGCTTGCTTTTAAAACTCCCAAGTCAACACAGAGCTACAAAAGCCTGCCATGTCTGTTCCCCCCTCCCCATGCTGGTGGGCAGAAGGAAAGATAAGGAAGGGGGGGGGGGGACAAAAACACCTAAAATTTGAACTAGAAACTACAAGTTATAAAATTGCTGAGGTTCTGTGCAAATTGACTTCTCAAAGTTCTGTGTCCTCTTACTGAGTATTAAAAAAGAAGGGGGTGGGTGACTTGCAAAGAGGACGGGAAAGGACACGGCGTTTACAAACAGCCTCCCTAAATACATACTATTGAATGGGTATGAAAGAGGTGCACCTGCATGGGGACACGGAGTGCGGGGGCGGGGCTCCATGCCGTCTCCCATCCAGGGCAGTCAGAGCACGCTCTGTCTGGCACACACTCCTGCACTATGTGCAATAACACAGGCCAAGGCTCCTCCGCCCTCTGCCAGACCACAGGCCTCTCCAGAGCTGACCTGGGGCAGGGATGGCTTTTGCTAGGCTTTTGTCTAAAGGACCTGGACAATACAAGGCTATGTGTGGTAGAGAACAACAACAAAACAAAAAAAATCAGAAAAACCTGGGGTAATATAAATACAATCTGGGGCAATATTTATTCATTAAAACTATGTCTTATAGTTTACAAAGATGCTAATCAGCAACAAAAGTATAAGTGACCTTAAAATCCTCAGTGAGACTGAGGCTTCACATCGCGCTCGGAAGTCTGCCATGTGCTCCAGGCAGGGCGGGGGCTGTGGTGCTCGGGGCAACCCCTGTCATCGTGCAGCACTGACAGACCAAAAGGTTCCACATAACAAAAGATGGATGCCCAGCTCCTTTGCAAGTCCACTTTCCCAGCCCCCCATGTCCCTGTATTTCTGCCCCCTCAAATTCCATCTCCAAGGCAAGTCCTCAGTTTATCGTCGGGAGAATCTGTTCTTGAAAGCTTTAATTGTCTTGGCCATCATTGGTGCAATTTCTGTGGAGAGAAATGAGGCAGTTGTTTCAGACTGGTGGCAGCTCACACACACCACAATAGGTTACACACAAAGCCGAGCGAAATCTCGCTGATCTTGGCTGTGTATCACCTCATGAGGGATACACGCAATAATCTGCTGACACTGTAACTGTCTGCTGACACTGTAAGAAAGCAATAGACACTTGCAGACGCCCTGCCCAGGGCATAGCCTCACCATCCCTAACCTAACCACCCGATTCCTGCTTCACAGCTTAGGAAGACTGGAGTGTGCCCATGGGTGTGCACTAAGGGGCAGGCAGGGAAGCTGATCCTTGCCAATGCCAAGGCCACTTGCCTGGTGTAACTGCATCAGAAACATGGAAGCAGGAAACAGTACCACCACCCACATCTTTCCATCGCTCAGGTAAGCTATACAAACCACAGCTAAGCAGGGCAGCCTGCCCTTGGCTGGTTAATATGGTCATGGCTGAGGCTTATACCTGGATTTCCTGCCCACCATGGGCCCGGTGGTGACCATGCAGCAATTCTTCCCATGCTAGACCCTTGATGACAGCCTCAAATTTTGTGTTTGGTACCAAACAAATACGAAAATTATTAGGAAACAGATGATAAAGGAGTAAAATATTCAGCTTGAGCTGGGCACTGATGACTCATACATGCAATCCTAGCTACGTAGGAGGCTAAGATCTGAGGGTTGTGGTTTGAAGCTGGCCTGGGCAGAAAAGTCTGTGAGACTCTTTTTTTTTTTTTCTTTTTTTTGCCGGTTGTGGGGCTTGAACACTAGGCCTGGGTGCTGTCTCCCAGCTCTTCAGCACTCTACCACTTGAGCCACAGTGCCACTTCCAGCTTTTTCTGCTTATGTGGTGCTGAGGAATCAAACCCAGGGCCTCATGCATGCAAGGCAAGCACTCTACCACTGAGCCACCTTCCCAGCCTCATCTTGTGAGACTCTTATCTCCAATTAATCACCAAGAAGCTGGAAGTGGAGCTGTGACTCAGGTGATACAAAGCACTAGCCTTGAGTGAAAAAGCTCAGGGACAGTGCCTAGGCCCTGAGTTCATCTGTGCACACAAGCACACATATATATACACACACACCTTTGTAAAAAGGACTTGTCATGTAGTATTAGTGAATATGAACTGTTACTGCCTAAAAAAGCAGGTTTACACTTAGGTTAAAAAAAAAAGAAAAAAAGAGCCGGGCGCCCAGGGCTCACACCTGTAATCCTAGCTACTCAGGAGGCTGAGATCTGAGGATCACGGTTCAAAGCCAGCCCAGGCAGGAAAGTCTGTGAGACTCTTATCTCCTATAAACCTCTGGAAAACCAGAAGTGGTGCTGTAGCTCAAGCAGTAGAGCTCTCACCTTGAGCTGAAGAGCTAAGGGACAGCGCCTAGGCCCAGAGTTCAGCCCCACAACCAAAAAAAAAAAAAAAAAGCTGGGCACTGGTGGCTCACACCTGTAATCCTAGCTACTCCAGAGGCTGAGATCTGAGGATCATGGTTCAAAGCCAGCCCGGGCAGGAAAGTCCATGAGACTCTCACGAGAAAACCAGAAGTGGAGCTGTGGCTCAAGCAGTAGAGTGCTCACCCTGAGCTGAAGAATGCAGGAACAGGGCCCAGGCCCAGAGTTCAAGCTCCACGACCGACAAACAAACAAACAAACAAAAAAAGCAAGCTAGGTGGTTCACACCTGTAATCCTAGCTACTCAGGAGGCTGAGACCTGAGCATCAGGGTTCAAAGCCAGCCCAGGCAGGAAAGCAGGAAAGTCCATGAGATTCTTATCTCCAGTTAACCACTCTAACAAGGTGGTAGAGTGCTAGCCTTGAAAACAAAAAAACTCAAGGACAGTGTCCAGGCCCTGAGTTCAAGCCCCACAACTGACCCCCCCCCCCAAAAAAAAAAAGTAAAGAACACAAATGAACAGTCAGTGGGTTCATGTTGGCATGGACCCAGCAGGGTCAGGGCCGACTGTCCCAATGAGCAGGTGCCAGGCATCCTACAAACCACACCGACACAAGCCACAATGACATTCAAGGGGTTCAAAAGCATTCTGAATATCTGATCAGGCATCCAAACTACTTACTCTTCACAGCGGGTTTTCTAGGATCATAGCACACACTGCTGCTGACCACTGGAGCCAGATGAGCACTGCTGGTACTGGGACCGTCGTAGGCTGGCTCCTCTGGGCTGGCAGTGAAGCTATTGCTGCTACTGGCGGGAACATGGCTGCTTCCTGACGTGTACGGGGCTGGCTTAATCCTGTATCAGAACAAAGTGGATAATGCCAGTGGAAGAAATCTGCTTCCTGCATGCACAGCCTGAAGCTGGCCTGCTGTAGGCAGACTCGTGCTGGGCACAGCAGTGGGCCTGGCAGCCACTGTGTGAGCAACTCTCAGCCAACCTTTACCTCTCTATTGAGGTGTCAGACTTCATTGAAACTGTTTATGTGGCCTAGAAGAAACAATCTGGTCACCCAAGAAATCTGTACTACTTAAATAAGGGAAAGCATGAGGAAGTGCATCCTCCTATCAGCCAGGTCTGCTGACCACTTACTGGCCTGAGCCCACCCCATGCTGCCGTCCAGGAAGCTGTGGCTCAGGGAGGTCTACTTCCCAGTCTCACAGTCCACATTGCCTGCCTGTGCAGCTCCCTCGGGCTCGTTGCCCTGACAAAGCTCTCACCTGACTTTCTCAGGGACAGCTGCCCCTCCCGTTCCAAACTTCTCCTGCCTTCGTCGCACATCACGGGGTGGCTTGGCCACCGAGTTGACAAAGGCCATCTTGGCTTGTCGGCCTGTGGAGAAATGTGGATGTTAGTGTCTGTCTTGAGCAGAGACATTGCTATTAAGTAATGGACAGGCTTTCAAGTGCCCCAAACCAGGGGATTATCAGTGTCAATAGCCCCAGTGTGACAACAAGGATTGTAGCTAAAGACAAGCCCAGTCCTGTCCACCTGCAGATGCAAGAGACCTTTCCCAGCTACCAGTCCCCTGTCCCTACCCTTGGGTTTGTTGGCATGTGCAGATCGGATATTCTTGGTTAACACTCGCAGCCGTTGCTCTCGAGCATCCTGAAGCCGCAGGTACATCTCCCGCCAAGACTCGTATTCTTCTGGTCTTTCTTCCTTAAAGTCTCGGTGGCAATGAACTTTCCATAATTGGTCTGTTTCTTCAATTAATACCTGAAATCAGGAAATAAAACATGTCACTTACATTAAGCACTCTTACACAATCTGGTTTCATCTAGGAGCAACAAATGCTCTAAGACTTTTTAGTATGCCTAGTAGCCTATTTCCCACAATTGTAGTAGAAAAAAAGAATTTTAATTTTAAAAATTTAGAAAACAGGGCTGGGAATGTGGCTTAGTGGTAGTGTTTGCCTAGCATGTATGAAGCCCTGGGTTCGATTCATCAGTATCATATTAAACGGAAAAAGCCAGAAATGATGCTGTGGCTCAAGTAGTAGAGTGTTAGCCTTGGGTAAAAGAAGCTCAGGGACAGTGCCCAGGCCCTGAGTTCAAGTACCAGGACTGGCCAAAAAAAAAAAAAAGAAGAAGGGATTGGGAATGTGGCTTAGTGGTAGAGTGCTTGCCTAGCATACATGAAGCCCTAAGTTTGATTCCTCAGTACCACATAAACAGAAAAAGCTGGAAGTGGCACTGTGACTCAAGTGATGGATAGCTAGCCTTGAGCAGCAGCAGCTCAGCCAGGCCCGGAGTCCAAGCACCGAGACTGGCAAAAAAAAAAAAAAATTAGAAAATGTGATGTGTGAGGCACTGTGTCAGCAGCTTCTGGGTAGCTGTGAAGCCATCAGGAGCTTCCCCAGCAACACACTGAACTGTTGGGCACAGTGGTCAGCAATGAGGATGCACAGTTCAGATGGATCAGAGCAGAGCAGCTGACAGTCAGGAAAGCATATCTACACCAAAGAAAAGGGAACTGCAAGGCTGGTACGCCTCTAAGAGATATGTGGACAATCTGAGCTCTTCATATTCAGACACCTGAGTGTCAGCACAAAGCAGGTGCTCTACTGCTGCAATTCTCCCATGACTATGGCCTTTGTGAGCAGGCAAGCCCAAGGGAGGCAATGAAATATTTTCACTCCCTGTGACTCCCACCCTGAAGTCAGGCACAGGTGCTAGAAAATACATGTTTGAAGGCCCTGAGGGAAACCAAACATGCCTAGAACAGTAATCTGACCTCTGACCTGCCCTTCAGCCCTGGCAAATCTGCAGAGACAAAGCTACATCTAAAGACACAGCCAAAAGACTGCTTGCCCTCTTGGGGCTAGGAAGGTGGCTTAGTGGTAGAGTGCTTCTCTAGCATTCATGAAGCCCTGAGTTCAATTCCTCAGTACCACAGAAACAGAAAAGGCCAGAAGTGGTGCTGTGGCTCAAGTGGTAGAGCATGAGCCTTGAGCAAAAGCAGCTCAGGTACAGTCCCCAGGACTGGAAGAAAAAAAAAAAAAAAAAAGACTGCCCTCTTCCCACCCAGATGGGACACTCACGTGATTGCATTCCTCTATGCGGTAGAGCTGATCAGGTGTACACCTCTCCAAAACAGGTTCAAGAACAGAATAGGGGACACCTCCCACTTCAAAGATGGCTGCAGAAGGAAAATCAGAGGTGAGAGTGCTGACTAGCAGCCTGGCCACCCAGTGACAAGGTCATGGTGGAAAGTGCCTGAGAAAAGCCGGCGACTACTCACAGTCGATGTTGTTTTTAAGCACACGGATGCACTGCTGGTGCAAGGTCATCATTTTGGGGAGATAGGCACACTTGGAACCAGAATACACCTGCATCTTGGAATTCATTCTGCGCCCAGTGAATCCAGCTTCTTCTTCTTCCTGGGGTGAAGAGAATGCTACAGGGCAAGAAAAACCAGAGTGTCACACAAGCCCCAGCCACACAGTGACACTCTTCTTCCACCCTGTGCTCAGCCTCTCCTTCCCTCTCTCAAAGACAACTAATGTTACAATTCCTATGGATCCTTTCAGACACATGGAAAAATAAGCCCATGTGTATCTTAGTATCATATTCACACATCACTCTTTTCATTTATATTGGAGTGATCATTCCATGTCTGTACATTTATAGTGGCATAAGAGGCCACCATGTGGGTGAGCTGGGATTCTGTTCATCTCTTGCTAATGGACACATACAGGGCTTTATTTACTTGCTTATTTCTGGTCCTGACACTCAAACTTTGGGCTTGGGCAACTGTCCCTGAGCTTCTTTTTGCTCAAGGTTAGCACTCTACCACTTGAGCCACAATGCCACTTCCAGCTTTTTCTGTGATTAATTGGAGGTAAGAGGCTCATAGACTTTTCTTCCCAGGCTGGCTTCAAACCACAATCCTCAGATCTCAGCCTTCTGAGTAGCAAGGATTATAGGCACCCAGCTCAAGGCTTTATGTTTTTGCTATTCAAACTGGATATTTTTGCTGGGTACCAGTGATTCACATTTATAATCCTAGCTACTTAGGAGGATAAGATCTAAGAATCATGATTCAAAGTCAGTCAGGGCAGGAATGTTTGTAAAACTCTTATCTCCAATTAACCAGCAAAAAGCAAGAAGTGAGAATGTGGCTCAAGTGATGAGCATCAGCCTTCAGTGAAAAAGCTCAGGGACAATACCCAGGCACTGAGTTCAAACCTCAGTACTGACAACAAAAGTTAATAAATAAGCAAACAAAAATAACGACTTTTTTTTTTTTTTTTTTAATTTTGAGTCCTGAACCCAGGGCCTGGGCATACTGTCCCTGAGCTTTTTTTTTTTTTTTTTTGGTCGGTCGTGGGGCTTGAACTCTGGGCTTGGGCCCTGTCCCTGTGCTCTTCAGCTCAAGGCGAGCACTATACCGCTTGAGCCACAGCGACACTTCTGGTTTTCTAGTGGTTTAATTGGAGATAAGAGTCACAGATTTTCCTGCCGGGGCTGGCTTTGAACCATGATCCTCAGATCTCAGCCTCCTGAGTAGCTAGGAATATAGGTGTGAGCCACTGACACCCGGCTCCCTCAGCTTTTTTACTCAAGGATACCAATCTACTACTTTCAGCCACAGCTCCACTTCTGGTTTTCTGGTGGTTAATTGAAGAGTCTCAGGGACTTCCCTGACCAGGCTGGCTTCAAACTGTGATCCTCAAATCTCAGCCTCCTGAGTAGCTAGGATTACAGGCAGGAGCCACTGGTGCCCAAATGACATTTTTCTTTTTTTTTTGCCAGTCGTGGATCTGAATTCTGGACCTGGGCGCTGTCCCTCAGGCTCTTCAGCTCAAGGCAAGCGCTCTACCGCTTGAGCCACAGGCCACTTTCAGCTTTTTCTGTTTATGTGGTGCTGAGGAATTGAACCCAGGGCCTCAAGCATGCAAGGCAAGCACTCTACCACTGAGCCTGACATTTTTCTTTTAATATAAAAATCATGGAAGTGGCATTGTAGCTCAAGTGGTAGAGCACTAGCCTTGAAGTGAAGAGCTGAGGGACAGTGCTCAGGCCGAGTTCAAGCCCCATGACCAACCAAAAAAAAAAAAAAACAAGGAGAAGAAAGAAAGAAAGAAAATATCAGCCAGGCACCGGTGGCTCACACCTGTAATCCTAGATACTCAGGAGACTGAGATCTGAGGATAGTGGTTCAAAGCCAACCCAGGCAAGAAAGTCCGTGAAACTCTTATCTCCAATAAAACACCAGAAAACCAGAAGTGGCGCTGTGGCTCAAGTGGCAGAGTGCTAGCCTTGAGCTAAGAGCTGAGGGACAGCACTCAGGCCCAGAGTTCAAGCCACAGAACCGACAAAAAAAAAAAAAAATCAACCTGAGCTGGGAAGGTGGCTCAGTGGTAGAGTGCTTGCCTAGCATGATGAAGCCCTGGGTTCAATTCCTCAGTACTACATAAACAGAAAAAGCCAGAAGTGATGTTGTGGCTCAACTGGTAGAGTGCTAGCCTTGAGCACAAAGAGGCTGAAGGACAGCACACAGTCCCTGAGTTCAAGCCCTATGACTGCCCTCCCTTTCCCCCCCCCAAAAAAATCATCTAACAAAAAGAATAAAGGGGACTGGGAAGGTGGCTCAGTAATAGAGTGTTTGCCTTGCATGTATGAGGCCCTGGGTTCAATTCCTCAGCACCACATAAACAGAAAAAGCCAGAAGTGGCGCTGTGGCTCAAGTGGTGGAGCGCTAACCCTGAGCTGAAGAGCTGAGGGACAGCGCCCAGGCCCAGAGTTCAGGCCTCATGACCAAAAAAAAAAAAAAAAAAAAGAATAAAGGACTGTTAATAACAGCAACAGCTAAGATTTATTGAACATTGCTATACGAAAAATCTGGAGCTAAAAGCTTTATTAGCATTATCGCATTTGCATTACTTTACCACAGTAGGCAAATATTATTACTCCCAGTTATGAGTTATAAAACTGAGGTTTAGCCAGGTGCCAGTGGCTCACGCCTATAATACTAGTTACTCAGGAGGCTGAGATCTAAGGATCTCGGTTCAAAGCCAGCTTGGGCAGGAAAGTCTGTGAGACTCTGATCTCCAATAAACCACCAGAAAACCAGAAGTGATGCAGAGGCTCAAGTGGTAGAGCCTTGAGCTGAAGAGCTGAGGGACAGCATTCAGGCCAAGAGTTCAAGCTCCATGACCAAAAAAACCCCCAAAAACCCTGAGGTTTAAAGAAATGATTATTATCCAAGGCCAGACACCTTGTACAGACCAATGCTGGGATTCCACCCGAGCCATCAAACTCCAGAATTTGTGAAGATAGAGCACAAATGAGATTTACACTCCCCTGCTCCCATTTAAAAAAAGAGATGCAGAAAATCACCTTTTCGTTTTGGTTGGAAGGAAGATATCAGTTCAAGGGAAGGAAGTGGGCGGTAATTGGCCTGGATGGCAGGTAATGGCAGGTCTGGCAGCACTGGCACAGCATCCATGGAGACCTGTGAAAGAGAGAGTGAGCAGAGGCCCTCCACCGCGGGTGCTCTCTCCAGGCCAGCCTAAGAGCACTGAAACATTGCACACCTCAGGCTGAACTGAGGCCGGAGTCATGAATGACACAGCTAAGTCAGGAAACGAATGCAGACGGGAAATATTTTGGGTACTAGGGACTGAGCGTAGAGCCTTACATACATTCAGCACATACTCTACCACTGACCTATATTCTCAGTCCAGAAAATTGTCATTTTTCAGGGTGGTAATGGAGTTTGAACTCAGATATCATGCTTGCTAGGAAGCCTTCTACTATGGGAGCCTCAGCTGCATCCCCAGAAAATTATGATGGGTGCTATTTTTTTTTTTTTTTGGTATGGTATGGGGGTTGAACTCTGGGCCTGGGCACAGTCCCTGAGCTTTTCAAGGTGTGCACTCTACCACTTGAGCCATAGTGCTACTTCCAGTTTTCTGGTGGTTTATTGGAGATAAGAGTCTCATGGACTTTCCTGCCCGGGCTGGCTTTGAACTGTGATCCTCAGATCTCAGCCTCCTGAGTAGCTAGAATTACAGGTGTCAGCCACCGGCACCCGGCTCCCTGGGTGCTATTTATATGGCAGCTGCCAAGGCCGGGCGAGCCTCTCCAGGCAGGACCAGGAGAAGGGTGCAGGCAGACCTGTGCCCCCTCACTGCGGGCTTACCTTTCTTGGCTTGGCTGAATCAGCTCCAGCCAGCTGCAGCTTCTCTGACTTATTTTCATTTACCTTGGGCAATTTCTGAACTGAGTCCAAGTTTTTACTAGTGCTTTTAGATTCACTTTTTTTCAGCCCTTTCTCTCCAAGTGCTGTGGTGGAAGTTTTCACAATTTTCTTCTTTTTCTTCCTGGGCTGGTCGTAGCTGAGGTATGATTCGAAGGACATGGTGGGCTGCTCAAATTCATCGTCCACATCTGCCTCCTCCTCTTTATGGAATGAGCTCAGGGACTTTTTACCTGAATGAGAAGTCTTCACCTTCCCTTCTTGAGCCTTTAGGTTGTTGGAGACCTTTTCTTTTGTTTTGGGCAACAGGTCTCCAGCCCCCTTCCCGATGTCTAGCCCATCCACACTTTGCTTAGTCTTCTCATATTTGGTTTTCTCCAAATCCTTGTGTTTTGTTTTTTTAAGGAGGTTGTCTGAAGCAACCTCCAGGGTGGATGAGAACTTCTTCTTCAGACTGCTACCTTCTCTTTCCTTCTCTTTCTTGACAGCACCAGAGGGTTGTTTCTCCTTAATACTGTCCCCTGATAGTGGCCTTCGGCTTTCCTCTTTGGCAAGGGCCTTGTGTGATTTCTCTCTGCTCAGAGCAGGGGCCTTCTCGTCTCCCCTGGCATCCACAGGGCGCTTCTCCTTGTGGGAAGTTTTGTGCTCCTTGTTTTGGTTCGTAACCCCTTTGCCCTGGGGTTCCCCCAGGTGCCGTTCCTGACTGACCCCCAGTCTGTCCTGAAGGGCATTACTGTGGCCTCTCCCAGGCTTCTGATGAGGAGTTATGGCCTCGTGGTCCTCCTCTGGGGACCTGTAATGGTTCATGAACACCTGATGGTGATGGGGACTAGCAGAAGCTGGGGGGGACTGAACATGGCCATAGTCAGAAGACTCAGGGTCTGAAGAATATGGGGGTGATGCTCGGTGGCACTTCTTTCTCTCATCTCTCCGCTCATGGCTGTGAGACACTCTGTGTGGTCTTTCTAGCTCTGGGAGTTTTCTGTGTTTCTTCTGTCTATGCTCAGGGCTGTAGGATTGGCTGCTGGAGGCTTTCCAGTTTTCCTGGTGTTCCCCCTGCATCTCCTCCTCCCTCTGAAGAACATCCCGAGGTCGCTTTCGGGAGCTGCTCTTCTCAAAGTCCTGTTCATCAGCGTCGCTGTTTCTAAAATCGAATTAAAAACAGATATACACATCAGTGTAAAGCCTTGTTCAGACTCCAGTTCAAGCCTCAGTACTGCCAAAAAAAAAAAAAAATGCTGTGTGTGTGTGTTGCTATTTGTTTTGTTTTATTAAATAGCTGGTTGCAGTAGCTCGTGCCTATAATCATAGCTACTTGGGAGGTGGAGATCAAAGGAGCTAGACAAAAAAAGTTCTTGAGACCTCATCTCAACCAATGTAATGCTGGGCAAACGGCACACACCTGTCATCTCAGCTATGTGGGAATTGTAAGTTGGAGGATCTTGGCCCAGGCAAGCCTGGGCAAAAAGGGAGGCATCATTTGAAAATAAGGAAAGCATGGGGCTGGGAATGTGCCTTAGTGGTAGAGTGCTTGCCTAGCATGCAGAAGTTTTGGGTTCAATTCCTCAATACCACATAAACAGAAAAAGCCAGAAATGGCACTGTGGCTCAAGTGGTAAAGTGCTACCCTTGAGCAAAAAAAAGCTCAGGGACAGAGCCCAGGATTTCAGTTCAAGCCCTAGAACTGGAAAAAAAAAGAAAATAAGGAAAGCAAAATAGGATGAGGATATAGGTAAAGTGATAGAGTATTTGCCCAGCAGGTGCTAAGTTCAAATCCCAGTAGCACCAAGATAAATAAGCTCAACTAATTTTAAAAATTGAGAAAACATGCCCCATTTGTTAGGAAATGGAAAAACTTGGAAAAAATTATATTAAGTGAAGTAAGCCAGGCCCAAAGAAACGTAGGTCCCATGGTTTCCCTTATTTGTAATATCTAGTATATGTATGAGTCAAGCGGAAAAGTTCAGATAATGTGATGTCAGGAAAATGAACCCTTAGATGTGTATTTTAATGTTTTTTTTCTTTCATGCATGTGTTTCTAACTCATTTATAAGATTATCTCTTTGTTGCTTTGTATGTCCCTCCTCCACAGTATAACCCCTGCTTTCACTATATTTGATGTCAGTATAACTTGTGGAGGAGATGGGGAAAAACCAGTTGTTTAAGGATACAGGTGGACCTGTTGCAACAATGAGAAGTACAACTTGTCATGTCCAAAACGAGCTTTACAACGTTGGTGCGGGGGGGGGGGGGGGGGGGGGGGGGGAAGGAGAAGGATTGGGATTAGGGGGGGAGGGGGGAGGCTGGGAAGGGATGTGAAGGGTAAACAAAGGAGGAGGCTGCAATGCTTGGTAAGAAATGTACGCATTATCCTGCCCATGTAACTGTAACTCCTCTGTACAGTATGTTCACAAATAAAATTAAATTTAATTTAAAAAAAAAATTGAGAAAACAAATATTCATAAATGGGAAGTAAATCTGGGCGCTGAGGGCTCATGCCCGAAATCCTAGCTATTTAGGAGATAGATATCTGAGGATCACATTTCAAAGCCAGCCTAAGCAGGAAAGTCCATGAGACTCTTATCTCCAATAAAAACCACTAGAAAACTAGAAGTGGCTCTGTGGCTCAAGGGGTAGGGTAGAGCACTCGCCTTGAGCTGAAGAGTGCAGGGACAGCGCCCAAGCCCAGAGTTCAAGCCCCACAATCAACCAAAAAAAAAAAAAATCAAGACCCCCACAATCAACCAAAAAAAAAAAAAAATCAAGACTCTTATCTCCAATGAACAAGCAAAAAGTCCGGAGTAAAGGTGTGATAGAGCTCTAGCCTCAAGTGGAAAAGCTAAGCAAGAATATGAGGATGAGTTGAAGCTACAGTACAGAAAGGAAAGAAAAAAAAAGGAAAAGAAATAGAGAAGGAAGGAAGGAAGGAAGGAAGGAAGGAAGGAAGGAAGGAAGGAAGGAAGGAAGGAAGGAAGGAAGGAAGGAAGGAAGGAAGAAAAAAATGGAAGGAAGGAAGGAAGGAAGAAAAAAATGTTGGAAGAGTTGGGATATAGCTAACAGCAGTATGGCAAGACCTTAGGTTCAATTTCCAGAACAACTAAAGTTACCATTGCCCCAACAAAAAGCCAAAAATGTTCATGCTTATTTTTAAATGTCAAAGTAGAAAATTGTATTATCTCTATTTTAGATACTTTCTAACATTCTATAATGATCGTGGGTTCTTTTTATAATGATACAAAATATTTTTTAAGTTTATGTGTGTGTGTGCATGCGTGCGTGTGTGCATGTGTGTGTGTGTGTGTGTGTGTGCGCGCGCGCGCGTGCATACAGTGCCACTTCTGTCTTTTTCTGTTTATGTTAAGGAATCAAACCCAGGGCTTTCTGCATGCAGGCAAGCACTCTACCACTAAACCACATTCCCTGCCCCAAACAGGCATTTTAAATACGAAGTTGGAGCCAGGTGTTGGTGGCTCACATCTGTAATCCTAGCTACCCAGGAGGCTGAGATCTGAGGATTGCAGTTCAAAGCCAGTTCAGGCAAGAAAGTCCATGAGACATATCTCCAATAAACCACTCAGAAAACTGGAAGTGGCACAGTGGCTCAAGTGGTAGAGCCCTTGCCTTGAGCTGAAGAGCTGAGGGACAGTGCTCAGGCCCAGAGTTCAAGCCCCACAACCTGGGGGGGGGGGGGGGGTTGGGGGGGGCAGGGGTAAGACGAAGTTGGAAGAGGAATACCAAAAAAAAAGCTGTTGGGTATGGGCAGCCCATACTTGTAATCCTAGCTGCTTAGGAAGCTGAGGTCTGAGGCTCGCTGTTCAAGCCAACCTGAGCAGGAAAGTCCATGAGACTCTTCTCCAATTTACAACCAACCAAAAAAAAAAAAAAAAAGTTGGGTGTAGACTGGGAAGGTGGCTTAGTGGTAGAGTACTTGCCTAGCATGCATGAAACCCTAGGTTTGATTCCTCAGAACCACATAAACAGAAAAAGCCAGAATTAGCAATGTGGCTCAAGTGGTAGAGTGCTAGCCTTGAGCAAAAGCTCAGGGAAGCCAGGCACAAGTGGCTCACACCTATAATCCTAGCTACTCAGGAGGCTGAGAGCATCTCGGTTCAAAGCCAGCCTGGGCAGAAAAGCCCATGAGACTCTTACTGCCAATAAACTACCAGAAAACTGGAAGTGGCGTTGTGGCTCAAGTGGTAGAACACTCTCCTTGAGCTGAAGAGCTAGCTAAGAGACAAGCACCCAGGCCCACAGTTCAAGCCCCAGGACTGACTGACAAAAAAAAAAAAAGCTAGAGCAGACCCAAGTGCCCAGGCCTTGAGTTCAAGCCCCAGGACCAGCATATTAAAAAAAGAAAAGGAAAGAAAGACAGCAATAAAGCTGAACAAATCTAAAGATAAATGTTTTTACCGTTCCACAGGAACCAGCTTCTTCCACTGGGCCACTAGGTCCCTGGCAAAGCTTCCAACTTGCTCATGTTTTCGATAGCTATTTACTGTCTTCCCGACCCCAGTCTCCTGCAAATGGCAAATGCAACATAGAAGTTGACAGAGGAACTGATGCATGCTGCAAATCAGTTACTTTGTTGCCTGATGGCCAAGTCTCTAATGACACATAGTAACAATATATACAAACTCAGGGGAAAATGTCATTAAAAGACTTCCAGAACTTTAACAATGTAACGATGTTTCAGGTCTGAAGCAAGATCTAAAAGCTCTTCATAACCCTGGAGCAGAAGTCAGCCTCAGTGGACAGCAAGTTAGAGAACCTGGATTCAAATCCAGGTGTCAAAACCAATCTTTTCATTCATTATTTTAATTCTGAAATACAAGTCACATTCATAGGTGTAGCTAAGTGGTAGGGTATTTGCCTAACATTCCCAACACAATGGGTTTATTCCCCAGCACTGCAATTAATCACCATTTTAACAATGTAAATAAGCTCAGTGATTTCCAGGATACTCCTAATACTATATAATCATTACTACAACAGGGACATAATCATAACTTTGCTGAGAAACAATGATTTCTTACTTGGGCCCACAAGCAGAAGACAGAAATGAAGCTTGAATTCAAGCCTCCTCCATCTTGTATCTGTGTCCTTTGCCCTGAGCCATTCTCCTGTGCAGTCACTTTACGGCCATCTTGGAAGCCAGTTAGGAGCTGACAGCTGACCTGACCAGCTGCCAGGCATCAATGACTCTTGCTTGGGACTGTTTAACTATGCATACCTTTCACTTGCTACCCTTCATTCTTTGTCTATTTAAACCTATAAGCTCTGCCTGCACCCAGAAGAGGGAGAGAGAACTCACATGCTGTCTTCCTGTGGCAGCCGGTGCCATAAAATAACTCTCCTCTCAATGTCTCTTTATCTGGCACATAGGGACAAGTAGTTGGACCTGTGGAACTCCTGGAGCTGGGCCTGGGGTTTCAAACCCAGATTTCCTTACCAGGACATTTCCACCACCCTCCAAAGATACGTTGTTCCCTCCAGTCCCACAACACCAAATAACTACTCACCCACTTCCTGTCTTTGAATTTGTCTAGACTGGACATCTCATATAAAAAGGTCATAATTATGCAACCATTATGCAACCTTTCCAAAAGCCCATCCCCTAAACTTCCTCTATGCTCGTCAGTAGCAAGGCTATGGGACAGAGTTTTATAGTATTTAAAGTTGCACAGTTCTTACCGCAAGAATGTCTACCGTAATTGGCAAGGTGGAGAGTTTCTTCAAATATTTCAATAGCTGCAGAGAATAAAACAAACATTAGCTTCTATAAAGTCACAATCACATTTACAGGAATGAACAAGAATAACTGATGGGGGCTGGGAATGTGGCTTAGTGGTAGAGTGCTTGCCTGGCATGCACGAAGCCCTGGGTGTTTGATTCCTCAGTACCACATAAACAGAAAAGGCAGGAGTGGTGCTGTGGCTCAAGTGGTAGAGTGCTAGCCTTGAGCTAAAGAAGCTCAGGGACAGTGCCCAGGCCCTGAGTTCAAGCCCCAGGACTGGAAGCAAAGAAAAAAGAATTTCTCATGTTCACTGCTCACACAGTGCTATGCATCTTCCAGGAATGAGTATGGCTACTATGTAGTTCACAAGTAAAAACAGGCTCCAGAAGTGTTGTCACTAGCCCCAGGACACAGGCAGGGCAGGACTTACTGGAGTCCTTAGCTTCAGACTGCACTTTCAACTGCTCTGCCACACCAAGGTGAAGACACAGGAAGCACCAAAACCTACTCTGCTCGTCACTGGCAACCATATCTGTCTCACTGTGGCAGAGATTTATGAGAAAGATACCAAGTTTAGAGGAACTTCCCATGGACCTGGCAGAGGATGGTAGAGAGAAGAGGCCTCTGCAGGAAGATGGTAGCAACGTGGTGCCAACACAACATTCACTAGTAGGAAGCCAAGAGTAATCCTGAGCAGCAGAGTTGGAGCTTTGCTGAGATTGTGTTGATGCTACACACAAAATGCCTGGGTGGTTAGAAAGGAAATCCTGGTTTGGCCACATTTCCTTTATTCAGTCCCGAAAACTAGGTCAAACTCAGTATAAAAGAGCCGTGAGGGTGGGGTTTGGGAGTCAGAGAAGCTCATCTTCTTTCCAGGTAATCTTGGGCAAGTAAGTAACCTCTCTGAACCTGTTACACCAAACTGCAGAAGAAATTGGATCCTGTTTCCACGACACAAGCAATGAGGTGCTTCGTCATAGTTTCTGATACTGTAAAAGCTCACCATGCTTATTATTCATCACTTATCAGCTGACAGCTCTTTAAACACTCTAATGTGGATCTTCAACCAGACAATGCTCAGCCAGTTTATACCAGGAGCCTTTCTCCAGAAAATGTGCGTGGGCAGTTTCCATACAAGGAGCATTGCACAGTTAAGTAGTTCAGTAGGTAACTGTGGCTATCCTTACACTTAATCATTAGTAAGACCTGTTCTCTCTGCCTTGTAGCTTCAACTCTTAACTGCCATGCCATGCTGCTAATAGGTGGAGTAAAGAGTATGTTTTTCTGGCCATTCTCCTTGAATAATTACTTAACCCTGACGCTAGGCAGAGCAACTGGAATACTGATGGTAATCTTTTTTTCTTTTTTCTTTTTCTTTTTGCCAGTCCTGGGGCTTGAACTCAGGGCCTGGGGACTGTCCCTAAGCTGCTTTGGCTTAAGGCTAGCACTCTACTTCTGGCAAGAGCCATTTCTGACTTTTTCTGTTTATGTAGTACTGAGGAATCAAACCCAGGGCCTCATGCATGCTAGGCAAACACTACCACCAAGCCACATTCCCAGCCCAGATGGTAATCTTGTTTAACTAGGAATAAGAGGTCAAGTGGGCAGTAGTGTAGAACTTTAGAATGGAGTGAAAATTGTCCTCTACTAAATTCTATCTCCACTGTAATAAATTCAGGAAAAAAAATGTGTATTGCCTTTTTGTTTGATTCTTTGAGTCAAGAGTTCTGCTGCATAAACCAGGCTGGTTCTGAATGCCTGGTCCTCCTGCCTCAGCCTGAGTGTTGGGACTATAAGTGAGGACCACCATATCTGGTTGTGCTCATCTTTGTCATCCAGGCTATAGGTTCAAAGACTAGTACCAATTTCCTTTCTTCCTTTCTTTCCTTCCCTCCCTGCTTCCCTTCCTTTCTGGGTGTGCAGGTGCCATTACTGGGAATTGAACTCTAGGCCTAGAGCTCTTTGCTTGGCTTTTTCCACTCTGAGCTGGCACTCTACCACTTGAGTCACACTTTCGGCTTTCTGCTGGTTAACTGGAAATAAGAGTCTCTCAGAGGAGCTGGGAAGGTGGCTCAGTGGTAGAGCCCTTGCCTTGCATGCATGAGGCCCTGGGTTCGATTCTTCAGCACCACATAAGCAAAAAAAAAAAAAAAGCCAGAAGTGGTGCTATGGCTCAAGTGGTAGCACACTAGCCTTGAGCTGAAGAGCTGAGGGACAGCGCCCAGGCCCAGAGTTCAGGCCCCACAACCGGACCCAAAAAAAAAAAAGAGTCTCTCAGATTTGTCTGCCCAGTTTGGACTGGCTTTGAACCTGCATCCTCAGATCTCAGCTTCCTGAGTAGCTATGATTACACACATAAGTCACCAGTGCCCAGCTTGCCAATTCCTTTTCTTCTTCTTCTTCTTCTTTTTTTTTTTTTTCTTCCTTTACTCTGTTGTTGGTCTTGGGGCTTAAACTCAGGGCCTGGGCATTGTCTCTGAACTCTTTTTGCTCAAGGCTAGCACTTTACCACTTTGAACCACAGTGCCACTTCCAGTTTTCTGATGGTTAATTAGAGATAAGAATCTCATGGCCTTTCTTGCTTGGGCTGGCTTTGAACTGTGATCCTCAGATCTCAGCCTCCGTTCTAATGCATTTACATGGATCCACTGAGTGAGGCTGCTCTGCCCAGTCCTCCCATGACTAACCTTGATCCTATTTGACAGACAGTGACACTGAGCAGTGAAGTTTGGTAAGTTGCTTCACAAGCTGAGAAGCACCCAACATAACTAACATTGTGTCATTAGGAATAGAAAATAGTGCATATGGGGGCTGGGAAGGTGGCTCAGTGATAGAGCACTTGCCTTGCATGCCTGAGGCCCTGGGTTCGATTCCTCAGCACCACATAAGCAAAAAGAAAAATGCCGGAAGTGGTGCTGTGGCTCAAGTGGTAGAGCACTAGCCTTGAGCTGAAGAGCTGAGGGACAGCGCCCAGGCCCAGAGTTCAGGCCTACGACCGGACCCTCCCCCCCCCCCCCAAAAAAAAATAGTGCATATGCCTAACACAAGCCTGGAAGAAAGTACAGAAGCAGCTCCTCGATCACAGTCCACTTGCCCACGTGGTAAAGGTCACCCAGGAACAGAGTGTCAGGACCTCTGTGAAGGCAGCACAGGAGAAGAGCACTGGAAGCACAGTGGCGTGCACCTCCACACCTAACACTGCTGTAAGTCGCACAGGACACAGGGTGTGTGGACCTCCATACCCAGCACTACCTTGAGTACCTGCTGCCTTTCTGCTTGACCTCAGGTGAGTAGGAGTGAACTGACCAGAAAAATTCAAGCCCAAGACTTTCAAACTGATCTAGCCCAACACAAGAAAGGCCTTCCCATCACTATTATTCTCAGTCAGTTCCAAGGAAGCAATAACATGGCACTCAGTATCCTGAGACAGATGCAAACTTGATGTTATCAAACCAAGGTACCAAGGATACAGTTTTCTTTCTTTTTATTTTTTTGTTTGGTTTTGTTGTTTGTTTTTTGTAGGTCGGGGGGCTTGAACTCTGGGCCTGGTTGCTGTCCCTCAGCTCTTCAACTCAAGGTGAGCGCTCTACTGCTTGAGCCACAGCACCACTTCCAGTTTTCTGGTAGGTTATTGGAGATAAGAGTTTCATGGACTTTCCTACCCAGGCTGGCTTTGAACCTCGATCCTCAAATGGAGTAGCTAGGATTACAGGCATGAGCCACCGGTGCCCAGCAGGGGTACAGTTTTCTAAGTACTGGTAACCAGAGACTGAGAAACGTCAAATGTATGCACACAACATGGTGAAAATCTCAGTTGCCTTAATACCACCTGATGGTGTTCTCCAGGTAGTCACATTCAAGATTTAACACAGGACGGCCATGAAAATCAGTTCTGGTTCAAATCAGTTCCTGTTCAGCAGGAACAAAAAGCCAAGTGATACAGGGCCACTGGTGGCTCACCCCTGTAATCCTATCTACTCAGGAGACTGAGATCTGAGGATTGCAGTTCAAAGTTAGTTCAATTAACCACCAGAAAGTCAGAGGTGGTACTGTGGCTCTCAAGGTGGGAGAGCACAAAAGCTCAGGGACAGTGCCCAGGCCCTGAGTTCAAGCCCCATGACTGACCAAAAACAATTAAATTAAAAAGCCAACTGAGTTGCTCCGCTTAGAACCTCTCCCACGTATGGGTGGATTGCAGGTGAATGTACAGTAAGAACCCGGACACCGGCGGCTCACGCCTGTAACTCAGGAGGCTGAGATCTGAGGATCACGGTTCAAAGCCAGCCCAGGCAGGAAAGTCCGTGAGACTCTTATCTCCAATAAACCACTCAAAACTGGAAGTGGCGCTGTGGCTCAAGTGGTAGAGTGCTAGCCTTGAGCTGAAGAGCTGAGGGACAGCGCCCAGGCCCAGAGTTCAGGCCCCACAACCGACAAAAAAAAAAAGTTATAACTTGAACCCTGATGTTCAATACCAGAAGACTCATTAACACAGGTGTGGAATCAAGCCCTTTGGCTGATAATGGCGTGAAAGCAAGATGTGGTTACAATTCAGTGCTGCTCTATAATCAAGCACAACCTGTGGGAGCTTGTTGGGTTAACTGAAGGCTGAGAGGAAGAAGGCCAGGGTGCCAGCCTGCAGCTTTCCCTGGCATTCACTTTTGAATGTCAACTATTATTCCCTTGCCAGGTGCTCGGTGGCTCACACTTACAATCTTACTCAGGAGGCTGAGATCTGAGATCTGAGGATCACAGTTCAATGCCAGCCCAGGCAGTAAAGTTTGTGAGACTCCTGTTTCCAATTAACTACCAAAAAAAAAAAAAAGAAAAGAAAGGGCTGGGAAGGTGGCTCAGTGGTAGAGTGTTTGCCTTGCATTCATGAGACCCTGAGTTCAATTCCTCAGCACCACATAAGTAGAAAAAGCTGGAAGTGGCACTGTGGCTCAAGTGGTAGAACGCTAGCCTTGAGCTGAAGAGCTGAGGGACAGTGCCCAGGCCCAGAGTCCAAGCCCCACGACCAACAAAAAAAAAAAAAGAAAGAAAAAAAGAAAAGCTGAAAGTAATAGAATGGTTGCCTTGAGCAAAAAAGTTCAAGAACAGCATCTAGGACCTAAGTTCAAGACCAGCACAAAAAAAAAAAGAGAAGAAAAAGAACGAAAGAAAGAAGAACAAACGAATGAACAAATGAAATTAAGGAAAAGAAAACACACAGAAAGAGGATTCCTCAATATTTTCTAATCTTCATAGTACTTCACAGTGCAAAGCTACAAGTTCTCAGTGATTTCCACCCCCCACTTTTTCAGTGTTGGGTATGGAGTCCAGGGCCTCATTCATAAGCAGTCTGCCAAGAAACTACACCCCCCTGCCCGGTCCTAGTGTGCTTTTCTATCTGGTCAGAAAAAGCTCAAACACTTTTTTAAAAACAACAAACCCAATCACTAATGATTCAAGTAAATATACTCCCGCCCTCCCCGGACTTGACGCTTCATATTTCACAGCGACAGTACCAGAAAAGGTCCTGCAGGTTTTCAATTCTGGTGGAAAAATACCTTTAGACGCTACACACAGCTATTAAAGGGGAGACAGAAATACAGACCAAATGGGGGTGATTACATAAAACTTGCTTTTTAAAAAGATTTTTGACAGTCACAGATCCCACAGTGTTTGGGGAGACAAACCGGTACTCAGGAATAATGACCATTTATTAGATGTCCACAAAGGGTTATTGTAGCGAGCGACTGCTAACTCCGCCGGCCGCTGCGCACGGGGGCCCGGAGGAAGTGTAACCCGAGACAGGTAGAGGCGAGCCCCGCAGCTTCCGAGGAGCGCTGATAACTCGCAGCGCTCCCCGAGAAGTCGCTCCCGGAGCTGGGCGTGGAGGAGGGGGCCCGCCGGGGGCCGCGGGGCCTGGGCGGGCGGGGGAGCCCCCGGTGGCCGGCCAGGGCCGCGGTGGAAGGAGCGCTCCCAGAAAAACTGGAAAATGGCGATCAGGTCCAGCTGACCCTTCGGGAGGGGGGGGAGGAGAGGGAAGAGACCAGGGGTCGGTCGGCCCGCGGCGGAGCGAGCGGCGGACGGGGACCCGCGCCGGCCCCGGTCCCGGGGTGGGCCCGGCGGGGACCCCGCGCAGCGCCCCGCACGGCCCCCCGCGGCCCGGCCGCCGCGACGAGGGCGCACGAGGAGACAAGTTTTGAAAGGAGCGCCGGAGCCCAGCGGGAAGCGGGGGGCGGCCCCGGGCGGCCCCGCACCCCGCACCCCAGGCCCCGGACGGGACGCGGCGGCCGCCGGCTCCCCACGAGTTCAAGACACCTAACCACAACTTCTGCCCCCCCCCTTCGGCCAGACCCAACTTCGTGCGAGCGCTGCCGGGCGGCGCGGGGTCCCCCGTCCCGGCCGGCCCCGGGGGAGGGGCTCCTGGGGAGCGCGGGGTCCCCCGTCCCGGCCGGGCTGGGGGAAGCCGGGGGTCGCCGGCCAAGGGCCGTCCGGGGGCCGCCGGGGGGCCACGCAAAGGCGGGGCGCGCGCGGCCCGCACCCACCCCGCGCCGCTGCCCTTTTGGGGGGGGCGCCCGGCTCTCGGGGTGCGGTCCCGGGAGGAGGGGGCCCGCGGGACCCGCCGCGGGGAGACCCCCCGGCGCCCGCCGGGGCCCGGAGCCGCCCCCCCCCGCCCGGAGCCCCCAATGGCGACGCCGCCCGCGACCGTTACGGGGCCCGCGCCGCGCCCAACGCCCGTCCGCGCCCGCGGCGCCCCGCTCACCTTCTTGGGGTCCGGGTTCGCGGCCAGGCGCGCCTGCAGCTTCTCCACAACTTGCAGCGCCGACTCCGCCGCCATCGCTGTCACTGGCGCGGCCTCCTCGCCGGAACTGGGCTCGCGTCGCGTCCTCGGGCCGAGCTCCGCCCTCCGTGTGGCCCCGGCGGAGACGGAAGCGCGGCTGGCCCCTTCCGGGCCTCGGCCGCGGGGCGCGCGGGGCGCGCGGGGCGCGGGCGCGGGGACGGCCGCGCGCAGGCCGCGCCCGCGGGCCGGGGTCCCCCGCACCCCTGCCTCGCCCGCAGCCCGAGCGCCTGGTGTTCCGGGATCGGGGCCCGGAGCCCCGCGCTGGCCCCCGCCGAGCCGGGCCTGGGGCGCTGGTGCTGCCCGAGACCTCCCCGCCTAGTGCGGGCCGCTAAGTCCCGCGGCTCGGCCTCGGACCCGGCATTCTAAACCCTCTCCCTCCGGCCCCGCCCCTCTGCGCACCTGAGGCTGGGCCCCGGCCAGCTCGGGAGCCCCCTGTCGTCACCACCCTAAGTCCCCTCGCTGCCAGTGGACAGTCTTAATTCCGAGCTCATCGGAAGGATTCGTCCCACTTTACAGATGAGGAAACGGAGGCTCCCGGGAGCCCAGATAAATGTGCCAGCAGGCCCACGACGACAGGGAAGGAACTGGAATTGGACTCTGAATGCAAGGCCCAGCCGGGCGTGGTGGCGCCCCCTTGTAATCCCATCACTTGGAGGCGGTGGCCAGCCAGCCTCACTCTCCAGGGAAAAATAAAACGGAATAGGTTGAAGAATTGAGGACCAGAGAAAGAAAGGGACTCATCCAACGTCAAACACTTGAATTTCTGAAAGTAATAAACCCTCCACCACAGAGTTCGCTCAAACACTTTCTCGATGTATGAATTCCTATGTCCGCTGAGGACCTGCCGGTCACCAAAATATCCCAGATCCGCACAGCTCAGGCCGCGAACCGACCACAGGCCACACACAGGTGGTTACTATTTAGTGAAAGTAATCTATTCCCACGATGACAAAACATCCACATGGATTAGATCTTTCTTGACAGGTCAGATTTTGTTAGACCCTAGCTAGATCTCCAGCAGCAAATGAACAAACAAAGCAACGAGGCTAAACCTCTCCTGCAAAGAAGGGAAGCCCAGAGACTCTCCCACAGTCCAGCTCGGGAAGAAAACAAAAACGAATCAGGAAACTGTTTCTTCGAATGGGCATTCATTCATTATGCCCCGCTCCTCTATTTGGGGACTCTCCCCAAACTCCTTCACCAACCAACCTTTGTCAGAGTGTAAATTATCAGTATATTGATTTGCCTTGTCCCTGGGCTGTTGATTTATCAAGTTCAATGAACAACCTCTCCAGCTTTGAATGTCTGAGGCCTACTATACTCCAGCCATATAGTCAGCATTGGAAGAAAAGCCCTTACAAGGGCTGAGGCTGCAGCTCAGTGGCAGAATGCTTGCTCAGCACATACAAGGCTCTGAGTTCTGTCCCCAGTGGGAGGTGGGGGAGGGGATGTGTTAGGCAGGAGCCCTTGCAGGATGAAAGACTGTACAGAAAAGGTGTGTGAAAAAAGGAATTGGATTCTAGTCCTAAGCCTAGAGTCTCCTCTGCACAGCTATCACCTGTTAAATTCCATTTTGAACATATAACATTGGTGTCATGGAATGCAGGCCGATTCTTGAGGCAGAATTGCTGACTAACTGCCTGGCCCATACTTAGAACACAAGATCATTGCAAATAATCCCCAGAGAGGTCTCAACCATCCAAACAAAAACAAATGCAGGAGTCACAGATTGGGAGGACTGAGCTTTTGCCTGGGCAAGTTAGGGAGACCCCATCTACCAAACAAGCCAGGTGTGATGGCATGTACCTGCAGTGGAAGCTGTTCAGGAGACAGTTCAAAGTCAGCCCCGGGCAAAAATGAAAGTCTCTACAGAAAAGATCACTAAAGCATAAAGGGCTGGAGCCGGTCCCAAGTGGTAAACCAGTGCCTAGCAAGCGTGAAGCCCTGAGTTCAAACCTTTTTCTTTTCCTTTTTTATTTTTGTCAGTCATGGGGCTTGAACTTGGGACCTGGGAGCTGTCCCTGAGCTCTTCTGCTTAAGGCTAGCATTCATTCTATCACTTTAAGCCATAGCACCACTTTCCAGTTTTCTGGTGGCCAATTGGAGATAAGAGTCCCACAGCCTTTCCTTCCCCTGACTGACTTTGAACCATGATCCTCAGATCTCAGCCTCCTGAGTAGCTAGGATTACAGGCCTGAGACACTGGTTCCTGGCCAAATCCTGGGGGTGAACGGGGAATCACAAATAGCATTCAATAAAAATTTGTTGAACACTGAACTAATTGTGTGTGTGTGTGTGTGTGTGTGTGTGTGTGTGTGTGTGTGTGTGTGTATGCATGAGCATCAGTGCTTGGGTACTGTTCCTGAGCTTATCCACTTAAGGCTGCTGTTCTACCACTTGAATCACACACAGCTCCACTTCCTGGTTTGTTTGTTTGTTTGTTTGTTTGGTGATTAATTTGGAGATAAGAGTCTCATGGACTTTCCTGCTCTTCAATCCTTAGATGGCATCCTCCTGAGTAGCTAGGCCACCAGCACCCAGCTGAACTAATTATTAAACATAAGGCTAGGGTCTGAGAAGGTGGCTCAGTGGTAGAGTGCTTGCCTTGCATGAGGCCCTGGGTTCGATTCCTCAGCACCACATAAGCAGAAAAAGCCGTGGTAGAGTGCTAGCCTTGAGCTGAAGAGCTGAGGGACAGTGCCCAGGCCCAGAGTTCAGGCCCCACGACCAGAAAAAAAAAAAAAAAACTATAAGGGTAGCTTCAATTTCCATCTGGAAATCTTAGAAGAGCCCTAACCAATTTATAGAGCCATGGATGAGAACAAGTAAGATTATTTTAGCTTAGTGATGGTGGCTCACACCTGTAATCCTAGCTACTCAAGAGGTTGAGATCTGAGGATAGCTGTTCAAAGCTAGCCCAAGTAGGAAAGCCCATGAAACTCTTTATCTCCAATTAACCACTAAAAAGCCAGAAGTGGAACTGTGGCTCAAGTGGTAGAGCACCAGCCCTGTGTGAAATAAAACTTAGGACAGTGCCCAGGCCTTAAGTTCAAGCCTCAGGATCAGCATCAAGAAAAAAAAGAAAAGGAAAGAAAGAAAAAGAGAGAGAGAAAGAAAGAGAAAGGGAGAGAGAAAGAGAGAGAGAGAGAGAGAGAAAGAGAGAAAGAGAGAAAGAGAGAAAGAAACAGAAAGAAAGAAAGAAAGAAAGAAAGAAAGAAAGAAAGAAAGAAAGAAAGAAAGAAAGAAAGAAAGAAAGAAAGAAAAGAAAGAAAGAAAGGAAGGAAGGAAGGAAGGAAGGAAGGAAGGAAGGAAAGAAGGAAAGGAAGGAAAGAAGGAAGGAAAGGAAAGCTTCACTTTACTGGTGGACAAAGATGAGCAGGGAACTGCCATCTTCTGGCCTGCATACTGTTTTTTGGTGTTGTTTTTTTAAGTTTGTGGAACAAATATGGTCTCTGTTCGTAAAGAAAGGAACTTAGAGATCTTTTAATTTTGAAAAACAGCAATCCTAGACTGGTTTTAGGATGACTCAAAACCCTGGAAGACAAGTAAAAATAGCAACAAAAATAAGTCAACCATCAATAACGAAGAAGCACTCAGGGCATTCAAGTGACATCCTGTGGGCTGGGCAGACTTTTGGTGGAGAGAGGGACACTGGTTTGAGAGAGCCTTCCTCCCTCAGCCTCTCCTGCCCTGGCCTCTGCCACTGTATTGTAGCAAATTGGCAGCGTCTGAAGCAGCCTGGGTGGTGGTATATTAAAAAAATAAAATAAAAATACAGGGTTAGGGATCAGCAACAACCCAATCTCCAGCCTCCAACTTCACCATGTTAATTAACCCTGTCGCCTGACCAAGATATTGAAGTCACTGAAATGGTTTCCTTCTGCTTCCTAGACTTTTGGGGAGACCCATCATATGTTAATAAACTGGCATAAAGCTGTTTTCCTGTAAAACAGCAATTGTTAGGAAGACATGTAAAGGGATTCTTTTTTTTTTTGGGGGGGGGTGTCTGGTCATGGGGCCTGAACTCTGGGCCTGGGCACTGTCCCTCAGCTCTTCAGTTCAAGGCTAGTGCTCTGTCACTTGAGCCACGGCACATCTGGCTTTTTCTGTTTTTGTGGTGCTGAGGAATCGAACCCAGGGCCTCATGCATGTAAGGCAAGCACTCTACCACTGGGCCCCCTTCCCAGCCCCGTAAAGGGATTCTTGTACTCCTCTGTAAGGCAGAGGAGAAGTCTCCCAGCTGGAGATGGCCAGGCCAGGGAGGAGTAGGTGCTTAATGCCTTCCACAGAATGCCTTGAACCTGCAGTGAACTTCCCATCAACTGCATAAGGCATGCTCTGAGGCTCAGCATCTAGAGAGGACAGATCCAGCATGAGCCCTCAGGAGAACAGTCTGTAAAGAATCTGTAGCTGTAAAAGCTACCATAAAAGTAAAAGCAAGATCTGAGGATCCTGGGCTGGGAAGGTGGCTCAGTGGTAGAGTGCTTGCCTTATATGCATGAGGCCCTGGGTTCGATTCCTCAGCACCACAAAAACAGAAAAAGCCAGATGTGCTGTGGCTCAAGTGACAGAGTGCTAGCCTTGAACTGAAGAGCTGAGGGACAGCGCCCAGGCCCGGAGTTCAGGTCCCACGACCAATAAATAAATGAATAAATAAATGATTTGAGAATCCAGGTTCAAAGCCAACCCAGGCAGAAAAGCCCACAAGAATCTTATCTCCAATTAACTAGCATAAAAAGCTCAAGTGGTAGAGCACCAGCCTTAAGTGAAACAGCCAACCAAGAACAAAAACTGAGTTAAGGGCTGGGAAAGTGGTTCCGCGGTAGAGTGCTTGCCTTGCATGCATGAGGCCCTGGGTTCGATTCCTCAGCACCCCATAAGCAGAAAAAAAAGCAAGAAGTGGCGCTGTGGCTCAAGTGGTAGAGTGCTAGCCTTGAGCTGAAAAGCTGAAGGACAGTGCCCAGGCCCAGGCCCCACAACTGACAAAAAAAAAAAAACTGAGTTAAAGCAAGAACTGAGTTCAAGCCTCAGTTCCAACTGGGACACACA